AAGTTTGTAAATTTGGTCTTAGTAATTTAACCTAAAATAGAAATAACAATTGGTAATTGGGATAGCTGCCTTGGCATTCTGAATGCACTACCTATGCAACAGGTGTATCCTAACACCCACTCAAAACCACTGCTGTGAACATCCCTGTAATTAAATTCAGATAACATTGCCCAAAGGGTCTGATGAACCTTTGTTTTTTCTTTTGGTTTGGTGCTGGGGCTTGAACTAAGACCTAGTCATTGTTCCTGAGCTTTTATGCTCAAGGTTGGCAGTCTACCATTTGCTCCATTTCTGGCTTCTTGCTGGTTAATTGGAGGTAACAGTCTTAGGACTTTCCTATCAGGGCTACCTTTGAACTGTAATCCTCAGATCTCAGCTCTTGAGTAGCTAGGATTACAGTTGTGAGCCACTAGCACCTGGCTGATGAGTCTTTTCAAGAGTCTCTGTAGCTACTGACAAATCCTCTAGCAGTTAATGGTACGTCCAGACAGAAGGAAGGGGTTGGGATGTGGACGATCCAGGGCTCAAGTGTGCATGGCAAACAGGCCAAGACGGTGTACCTAAGCTAGCAAGCAGGTCCCAAGGCTGTTCTGGGAGACTGCGATTGCTAGGGACTTTGTGTATATGTGTGTGGGGGGGATTTGAACTCAGGCCCTTACACTTACTAGACAAGTACCACTTCAGCCACATCCACTGTGGGACTTTATTTTGATCTTTGTATCCCCTTATCTCCTCAGTGTGGTATTTTGTACACTTTTATTATGGGAAAGAGATGTCATAAGTGTGAGCAACATTGTGCAAGAGGAAGGAGCAGTGGGTGTGAACAAACCTTGAGGCTTTACTTGACTGTCAGTTCACTAAGAAAGGTGGAACAGCTAGGTGCAGATGGCTCACGCCTTTTATCTTAGCTACTCAGGAGGCTGAGATCTGAGGCTCATGGTTCAAAGCCAGCCCAGGCAGAAAAGTCTCGCTGAGATTCTTATCTCCAATTAACCACCAGAAAACCAGAAGTGGAGCCATGGCTCAAAGTGCTAGAGTGTTAGCCTTAAGCTAAAGGAGCTGAGGGACAGTGCCCAGGCCCTGAGTTCAAGCCCCATGACTGACAAAACAAATAAAAGGCAGAACGATGGCCACATGGATGACCAAGGCCAGCGTGGTCCCTTCTGAGGGCACTGGAGATGACACTCACTGGGAACTGGCAAGGGATACTAGGGACTGAGTGGGCTTTTCAGGTGTGAGAACTTCTGGATCATTGCAAAGGAGGTAGGTTGCACTTGATGAAGGAAACATTTTTTTTTTTAATAGTGAATGTTTTCTGACAATAGTCTTGGTTATTGGCAAGTGGATTCCTTCTGAGCTATTCCAAACTCATCCTCAGCCTGACTTCTTGATATTGCCACAAAAAATAATTTGGGGACCACCAAGGTAGAGACCACCTAGTATATTCTTACTGCAACACTCTTATAGCCATTTGCTTGCTCATTAAACTTGGTCATTAATGTTTTTTGGCATTCCTTCAAAGCAAAGGATGGATTCTGCTACATGCTTCTGCCAAGACAGATGTCCACCCCCAAAATAAGTTTTCTCCCTTAAACGTATTTTGTGCCAGAAATAGTCATTTTCCTGGAATAAGTTTCTTTCTAATGTCCTTACTCAGTTCCCAGAATACATTATCTGGGCAAGCAGCAGGTCAGCAGGAGAGAGATTTTTTTTTCTCTCCCCCCCCCCCCCCCCCCCGTCTTTGGTCATGGGTCTTGAACTCAGGGCCTATACACTGTCTCTGAGCTCTTTTGAACAAGGCTAGCACATTGAGCCACAGCTCCACTTCTGCTTTTTGATTGGTTAATTGGAGATAAAAGTCTTATGACAGTTGGGTACTGGTGGGTCATGCCTGTAATCCTAGTGACGCAGGAGGCTGAGATCTGAGGATCGAGGTTCAGAGCCAACCTAAGCAGGAAAGTTTGAGACTCTTTATCTAAGTAACTACCAGAAAATGGGAAGTAGCACTGTGGCTCAAAATGGTAGAATGCAAGCCTTGAGCAAAGAAGCTCAGGGACAGTCCTCAGGTCCTGAGTTCAAGCCCCAAGACCAGGCTGTCTTCAAACTACAGTCCTCAGATCTCAGCTTCCTGAGCTAGGATTACAGGCATGAGCCACAGGCACGTGGCCCTCTTTTTTCTTTATACTTAACGTTGTAGCTTGTGAGGGATTGTAAGATTTAGGAGCAAAAATAGTACTTAGATGCTTTTACTTGAGCTATCCATTATTTTAGTGTTTGTCTCTGTATTCCTTTATTTTTTTCATTCTTTCATTCCTTTATTCCTTTACTATAAGGCTAGCACTCTACCACTTCAGCTACAGTAACACTTTGTTGTTTTTTTTTTTTTTCTGTGATTAATTGGAGATAAGGGTCTCACAGGTTTTCCTGCCTGGGCTGGCTTCAAACTGTGATCCTCAGATCTCATCTTCCTTTGTGGCTAGGGTTACAGGTGTGAGCCACCAGTGCTATATACTATTTATGATCAAAATCTAGAGATGACTTTAGGGATGGATCAGGCTGGTAGGGCTGGTGCCCAGGGCATTGAGGACCTGTACCTGCCTACTGGGGGATGGAGAGAAAAGCCTGGAAGGAAGTATGTCCATAGGAAGTATGTACATCCCTTGAGACCATTGGTGATTTTACTTTTTCTTTGTTATTTCTATGGTTTTCAAACATTCTACAGTGAAGTTATTTGCTGGTCCTGGGGCTTGAACTCTGAGCCTGGATGCTGTCTTGAGCTTTTGCACTCAAGGCAAGGGCTCTACCACTTGAGCCACAGCTCCACTTCCAGCATTGTTGTTGTTGTCATTGCTGTAGTTTAGTGGAGATAAGAGTCCCACAGACTTTCCTGCCCAGGCTGGCTTCGAACCACAATCCTCATATCTTAAGTGTCCTTAAGTAGCTAGAATTATAGGCGTGAGTCACCAGTGTCCAACCCAAATGGAGTTTTTAGAAAGGTACTTTTCAGAACTTGAAATTTTTTTTGGGGGGAGGAAGAGATGATAGAAACTTATTTACAAGGACATAATGAAATAGACAAGTAATTGGGTTCCTCTGGGCTCAGAGAAATCATGAGCAGTTGCCAAAGTCCCACCTAGGACTCTGTCTGAGAAAGAGGGGTGGAAGGAGGTGATGTTATACGAAAGCGTGCCAGTATGGGGATTTCTCATTTGCCATAGCCACAGAGCGGGATTCCTCTCCCTTTTCATTTCCCTACCTTGCCCCTAGGCAAAGCAGCCTCCTCACCTCTTTCTGTCTCCCTCCTATTTGGGGAAGGTTATTGGAGTTTGGAGTGTGTACTTACTAGGCGGGTCCTGCTTTTTGCTGGTTATACTGGAGGCAGAGTCTTGGGCTTTTCTGCCTGAACTGATCCAAGCAAGCCTCTGGAATAGCCAAGATCACAGACTTCAGCCACCATGTTTATCTGGTACGACATAATTCTTCAGTTTGCACTCAAGAAATTCTCATTCTTGCAGGACACTTTCCATGTCACTCCAACCCTGAGGGCTTTCCTGGCTCCTGGTTTTTCTTTTCCCTCCTTTAGTGTTTGGGTATTTTCTAGAACTTCCCCTCTGAAGTGCCACTTTCTCGGTCTTTTCTCCTGAGTTTCTCCTTGGATTCCTTTGCTGCCCTTGGCCTCGGCCCAGGTCAACCAGTCCTTACCTGTGCCCTGATGAGAAGCAGGTGAACGGGAGGTGCCAGAGTAGAGAAGTGACTTCGTGGCTTCTGTCCCTCACCTAAGGAGGACCTAAAGGGTCTTTCTGCACCCAGTGCTGCAGAAACTGCGGCCAGGCTTGGTCCAGCTTTCTGTTGAGAGTGCCTTGCTTTCATCCTTTCCTACCCTGGATGTGCCTAACCCAAGCTCTTCCCAGTCCCGCTTCCATCTTGGGCCCTCCCCTACCATGGCCTCCTGCCCCTCATCCCTGCAGTGTGTGGCCTCTCCTGGCTCACACTTGACTGAATGGAGACAATCACAGCTTCCCTTAAGGTTGCTAGCGACTCACATCGGGGATGTTGCCTGGAACTTGGCACAAAGCAAGCACATAAGAAACCATGGTGGCTTTCTACGTTCGCTTCCTTGCCACGCCTTGCAGCTCTAGGTGTCCTGTGGGTCAAAGTGTTTTCTCTTCAGCAAATCAGGGGCTACAATGAGGACACACAGAACGAGTTTTGGGGCAGCTTGCTCTCCCCTGACCCTGCCTGCTCTGGCGAGAAGATGCTTGTTGATACACCTGGCCCATCCTTGTGCCTTCACATTGGTTGAGCGCCATGTAGAACTCGCTGCACTGCTTAACATGGGTCAGTCATGCTCAAGGGATTCTTGTGCTGGCTCTTCTGGAGGCTGGCTTGGTCTCAGTGCTGCCACAGTACAAGCAGGTCCCAGTGGGAAGGAGGCAGAACAGTTGTAGCTGTTTTTTTTTTTTTTGGGGGGGGGCAGTCCTGGGGTTTGAACTCAGAGCCTGGGTGCTGTCCCTGAGCTGCTTTTGCTCAAGGCAAGTGCTCTATCACTTGAGCCACAGCATCACTTCCGGCTTCTTTGAGTAGTCTTATTGGAGATAAGAATGTCATGGACTCCCCCGGGCTGGCTTCAAATCTCCGCCTCCTGAGTAGCTAGGGTTACAGGTGTGAGCCACCAGTGCCAGGCTTGTCGCTGGCTTTTGCCAAAGGAAGGACTGAAAGATGTCCCAAGGTGAAGACAGAGCCTCCTCCAGACCCAGGACAGAGACCAGGTCACTCTGGCCTTTGTGTGGGGCCCAGTGATTCCCCAGATAGCACTTGTGGGGTAGAGGCAGACAAATGGCGTTTGCCTGGGAATAAGGACACTAAGAGACTGGCATCCACAGGTGGAGAGCCAGTCCCCTGGGTGCTGATTGGCAGCTCAGGGTCCTGCTGGCCTTCCCGTCCACAGAGGGGAGGAGCCGGCCCTTGAGGGTTCTCACAGAGCCATGTCTCTGCCACAGGTGAACGGGAAGGAGCTCTCCAGGCTGTCTCAGGAGCAAACCCTAGAGGCCCTGCGCGCCTCCAAGGAGCCCCTGGTGATCCAGGTGCTGAGACGCAGCCCCCGTCTGCGGGGGGACAGCTCCTGCCATGACCTTCAGCTGGTGGACAGTGGCACTCAGACCGACATCACCTTCGAGCATATCATGGCGTTGGGCAAGCTGCGCCCGCCCACCCCACCCATGGGCATCCTGGAGCCGTACGTCCTCTCTGAGCTGTGAGTTGCCCACAGGAGGGCCCCGGGCCCTGCCTCCAGAGGCGCCACTGATGCAGCTCTAGCCATGGCAAGGAGAGCCAACTCGGTCTGCCCCTCTTGGGCAGGGAGCAGGCTCCTGGGCCTCCCACACTTGACCATGGCAGCCAGGGGGCTCAGAGAGTCTCAGCGCCAGCCGGCCAGCCTGCCTGGGACCTTGCTGTTCCTCCATCTTCTTTCCTCCTCTGCCGTCCCATCGTCTCTGCATCACTCCTTGAATCTTCTCACATCTCTTGTCTGTCCCATTCCTCCACCTGCTCTGAATTTCCTCCATCTCTTCAGCTTCTTTCTTTGGTCCACTCGGAAGAAGGGCCTTTCATCCAGGCCTGGTGGGCCGTGATCATGTGAGTGCTGACTCCTTCGGACACAGGGCGATGGCCTGAGCAACCTCCTATGCAGAGAGGGAGGCCACAGGGCCGTGAGCAGCCACACTTAGCTTTGGGGCAAGGCAGGCAGCCCCTGGAGGCAGAGGGGTGCCTGTCTGTTGTGCGGAAGGCCTCCCATGCTTGGGGAACTCCTGGGGGTGCTGCATGAGAGGGACCAGTGTTGGGGGGGGGCAGGTGGGGCACCTGGAGCTTTGGGGAATGCAGTTCCTGGCCTGGGGGGTGGTGAGGCGGGGAGAGCTAGGCACGCCTGCGTGCATCCTCAATGTGGACCCCTGCGCACTCCAGAGGAACATTCCTAGTTCTTCTGATCACGTTGTGAAGAAGTGGCGTAGGGAGGAGGTAGTACCTGGCCATCTACCCTGGAAACTGCCCCAGAGCAGGGTTCCATGCCGAGTGCACTGGGGCTGGTCAGCCTAGGGCTAGGGCACCACAGGAGCCAACGGCCTGCCTGACCCCCCACCTTCTCCTGGGCAGCCCCCCCATCAGCCATGAGTATTATGACCCGGCGGAGTTCATGGAGGGCGGCCCGCAGGAGGCAGACCGTATGGACGAACTGGAGTATGAGGTGAGCCAGCCTGGAGGCCGCACAGGGCCTGCAGCCAGCCTCAGGAGCCAGTGCAGCCCTGCTTTCTGCAGCCCTGCCCAGGCCTGGCTCCCGCTGCCTCCAGTGAGCACCTGGCTGAGTTAGGGCGGGCGTGGGGGACGTGTGGTGCGTTCTGTGTTGGTGAGTCCTCGTCCCGTGCATGGCTGTCCTGTGTGTCCTGCGTGTACGTTGTGTGCGGCTTGGGTATTTCTTGGCACGGGAGACACTGAACACTTGCGCCATTTGGGATGGTAAGAGAAGGAAGCCCTCAAAGCCAGGGGCTGGACTCTCAGATCAGGTGACTGGAGGGGGAGGCGAGGGGCTGGGCTGAGGCTGCTGCACGCTGCAGGCCTCCTTGCTCACGTGGCCTGGGCCTTTCTACCTCTGCTTCCTCCCATACCCCATGTGGCAGGAGGTGGAGTTATATAAAAGCAGCCACCGAGACAAGCTGGGCCTGATGGTATGCTACCGCACAGATGACGAGGAGGACCTGGGCATCTACGTCGGAGAGGTATGGAGGTGGCCGCTGAGCACTGAGAGGGCCTGAAGAAGCTGCCATTGTCTGCCTGGGGCTTCCAGGTGTCGCAGTAGGCTGTTAAGTGAAGTTCTTGTCCCTGAAGCCTGTTGCTTCTGTAGGCAGTCTCCTGCACGTCTAGGCCCAGGCTTTGTTCTCTCCCAAATGCTACAGCCAGCCCCTCCAGGACCTCCATCAACAGTTTCCCAATGAAGCTCATCTCTCTAGCCAGGTGCTGGTGGCTCACACTGTAATCCTAGCTACTCAGGAGGCTGAAATCTGAGGATTGCAGTTTGAAGCCAGCGTGGACAGGAAACTCTGAGATTATCTCCAATTAACCACCAGAAAACCAGAAGTGCAGGTGTGGGTCAAAATGGTAGAGACCTCATGGACAGCACCCAGGTTCTGAATGCAAGCTCCATGACTGCCCCCCCCCCAAAAGAGCTCACCTCTCAAACGGAAAAGGTTCCCCTGTGTATCAAGCCCTAGGGCTGATATTTTCATTATGGAGAAGCATCCAACAGCTTAGGTCTTGGTGAAAAAAAAGAATCAATGTCCATGCATAGGAAGGTTCAAGTTGGGGTTAAGGGCTTTCAAGTATTGGGGCTCATTAGCATGTGCTCTCCCAAGGGAGGGAGGCAGAGATCCCAGGGGCCTGTGCTCTGCTTCCTGGAACTTGGAAGCTGCTTCTGGGCGTCGAGGTGGGAATGACAGAGCCTTCAGTTTGCTTAGCCTTCAAGGTGAGGCTTACCCCTGCTCACTGCAAAGGACACCACAGTAGGTACTAAGTCCCCAAGGTGCATGTGTCCTGCAGGTAAACCCCAACAGCATTGCAGCCAAAGACGGCCGGATCCGTGAGGGAGACCGCATCATCCAGGTGAGCACTTTGGAACTCAGCCTATTCCTGGCCCTCTCTCGCTGAGCCTCTAGCCTGAGGGCTGGCCATCTACTGTGTCTGAAACCTGGGTGGGATCTTGTCTCTCTTCTGCTCAACTGCCCCAAGGGGCTCCTGTGTACTCAGGGAATCCATGGGTACCACCCCAACTTCCTTTCCCTCGGTTCATGGTCCATCTTGTCCTGCCAGCACATGTACTCTCACACACAGTTCAAGCCCTGTCCTGCCCTGCCAGGGCCCCTAGCTTTCTGGTTGATTGTCTCCTGGCCTGTCACAGATTAACGGCATGGATGTCCAGAACCGAGAAGAGGCAGTGGCTATCCTGAGCCAGGAGGAGAACACTAATATCTCCCTGCTGGTGGCCCGGCCTGAGAGCCAGGTGGGTGTCTATACCCACCAGCAGGGCGCCCTGGAGTCCCCAGCATCAGGCTTTCTGCCTGGGCAGTTGCACGTGTGATAGATGCACGGATAGATATAACAAGCGCCTGAAGTTGTGGGGTAGAGGAGCGAGGTTGGGGGGGGGGAGGAAGGGGGGAGGAGGGTCGCAGAGCCTGTGTCCCCTCCCAGTCTCTGTGGCTGAGTAGATTGGGACACCCCCTGCCCCTTCTTGGGTTGTTTGCTTGACTTTCACCGAGAGTATGGGACCTGGAGGGGAAATAGGGAAGGTCCGTGACGTGGTGAATGGTGAGGATAGCTCAAGTCCATCTCTGCAGCTAGCGAAACGGTGGAAGGACAGCGATCGGGATGACTTCCTAGACGACTTTGGCTCTGAGACTGAGGGGAAGCTGAAGTCGCCCCCTGCGCAGCAGGTAGGGAACGGCTTCCAGGGGGAGTAAGGAAGAAGGGTCTGGGGGTGTCTAGGGCTTCTTAACTCAGATCAGAAGAGGAACTGGCCTTGAAAGCCCTGCTAGGCCTGTCGTATCCCTGCTGGATCCTAACTGATTTGGGGGTCTTTCCTGCCCTAGCCTGGAAATGAGGAGAAGAGGGCTCCCGATGTAGGCGCAGGCCTGAGCAACAGTCAGGAGCTGGACAGCGGCGTAGGCCGGACCGATGAGAGCACCCGCAATGAAGAGAGTTCAGAACATGACCTGCTGGGGGATGAGCCCCCGAGCACCACCAACACCCCGGGAAGTTTACGCAAGTTTGGTCTGCAAGGGGACGCCCTGCAGAGCCGGGACTTCCACTTCAGCATGGACTCCCTGCTGGCCGAGGGGGCGGGGCTGGGGGGAGGGGACGTGCCCGGCCTCACCGACGAGGAGTATGAGCGCTACCGGGAGCTGCTGGAGATCAAGTGCCACCTGGAGAATGGCAACCAGCTGGGCATTCTCTTCTCCCGGGCCTCCAGTGGTAACAGCGCCTTGGATGTCAACCGCAATGAGAGCCTGGGCCATGAGATGGCGATGCTGGAGGAGGAGCTCCGGCACCTGGAGTTCAAGTGCCGCAACATCCTTCGGGCGCAGAAAATGCAGCAGCTGCGGGAGCGCTGCATGAAGGCCTGGCTGCTGGAGGAAGAGAGCCTGTACGACCTGGCGGCCAGCGAGCCCAAGAAGCACGAGCTCTCAGACATCTCGGAGCTGCCAGAGAAGTCAGATAAGGACAGCACCAGCGCCTACAACACGGGGGAGAGCTGTCGCAGCACGCCGCTGCTGGTGGAGCCCCTGCCCGAGAGCCCTCTGAAGCGAGCCGCAGCTGCTAACTCCAACTTGAATCGGACCCCAGCAGGCCCCCCTGTCGCCAGCCACCCTAAGGCGGCCCCTCCACCAGGGAGCCCTGCCAAGTTCCGATCCCTCTCCCGGGATCCCGACGGGGGCCGGAGACAGCATGCAGAGGAGCGTGTCCGCCGCAGTCCCAAGTCTGGGGTGACCCTGGAGCGCGTGGGCCCTGAAGGCAGCCCTTACCTCTCGAGGCGCCACCGGGGCCAGGGCCAGGAGAGCGAGCACTACCACAGCTGTATGCAGCTGGCCCCGACGCGTGGCTTAGAAGAGCTGGGCCACGGCTCATTGGGGTTGGCCGCGGGTCCACGGGTGGGTGGGGTGGTGGCCGCAGCTGCTGAAGCGCCCCGCATGGAGTGGAAGGTGAAGGTGCGCAGCGACGGCACCCGCTACGTGGCCAAGCGGCCCGTGCGAGATCGACTGCTGAAGGCCCGGGCCCTGAAGATCCGGGAGGAGCGCAGTGGCATGACCACCGATGACGATGCTGTGAGCGAGATGAAGATGGGCCGCTACTGGAGCAAGGAGGAGCGGAAGCAGCACCTCATCCGTGCCCGCGAGCACCGGAAGCGGCGCGAGTTTATGATGCAGAGTCGGCTGGAGTGTTTGAGGGAGCAGCAGAATGGTGACAGCAAGCCCGAGCTCAACATCATTGCCTTGAGCCACCGCAAGACCATGAAGAAGCGAAACAAGAAGATTCTAGACAACTGGATCACCATCCAGGAGATGCTGGCCCACGGTGCACGCTCTGCCGATGGCAAGCGCGTCTACAACCCTCTGCTCTCCGTCACCACTGTCTGAGTTATCCAGGCAACCGGGCCCCAGGCCTGAAGGGTCCCTAGAGCCTGGCTGCCCCTCACCCTCCCCTAGAATCTAGTATGTGTGTCTATGTGTGTGTGCTTGCACGCTGTGCTTGTGCACCACTCCTACCTGTCTTTTGTGTGTGCACAGGACTTTGCTAAGCAGAGAAGATGCAAGAAGGGGCACTTCCTTCCCAACACATGCTTCCTTCTCCCCAAGTAAAGAGACCATGTTGTTCACACCAAGTATTAAGGGCATACCTATAGTGGATTGTGTGTGCGTGTGCGCACACACTGATGACACACACCCAGCTGCTTGAAGTGATTATTTGGAGACAAGGAAGTGGGTGCAGAGTGGGGGGCAGTGGGCTTCCCTAAGCACAAGAGCGCAGCCTCTCCCCCGCCCCTGGGAGCTGCAGTTATTTGTAGAAAAAGGCAACCCTGAATGTTGTGGTTTCCCCCTTTCTGTGCTTGCCAATAGTTGTTTTTCTGTTTTGTGGACCTGCTCTGGGGGCTGGCAGCTCCTTCAGGCAGCCTGAGGAAGGTGGATCCCACCGAGGGTTGGCTGGGAAGGAGGTGGGTGAGGAAGGGAGGGCTGGGGTGGGAGGGAAGGGGGGGAATGGTGGGAGGAATGGGAAGCAGCTGTCCTGTGGCCTCCATCCTGAGGGATGGGGAACCTGTGCCTTGGCGTTCAAGGCTCACCTTTGGGGGCCAACATCTCCCCCAGCAAATGACTATAGGGATTAAGGGGGTACTTTCCATGTCAAAAGGATTCTCTGAGCCTGGGTCTGTTACCTGCTGCCATCTTACCTGTATTGGCCTAGAGAACCCAGTGACAGGCAGGTGGGCTTAACCGAGGGAGCTATCTCCGGCCTCTTCTTGGTGTTGCAGTTGTTAACTGTGTCACCTGTGTGGTGTCCCTCAAAGCTTGGAGAAACCCAGATTAAAGGCCGACTGTCCCCACCCCCCCTGCATTTCAATAAAGCAAGCTGCCTTTTTACTCTGTTGAACCATGTCCTTCCTGTGTTTATTCTCATTGTGCCGTTTTGTCTGTGCCAAGAGATGTCAGCTCATTTATCCCTACATGTGAAGATCTAAGTTAGTGATGGATAGGGCCCTTCCCTAAAGCTGCTTTCCGCTGCTGGGTAGGCTGGGTCACAAGGGTACAGCTTCATCCCTGATTGCCACACTGATTGTCTGGGAGGGAAGAAAGACCTAGCATGGGCAGCCCTGCCCATGAGCAGCAGTGGGTAGTAAAGGGCTTAAGGGAACGGAACAGAGTCCTAGAGATCCTCGTTTCATTTCTGATGGGGCCTTTCCAGCCAAGGGCCTAGTAAACCCAACCTCCCTAAACTGCTCTGCCCACTTCTAAGAACCCCAAGGCCAGCTGTTCTTCAGCATGCCTCCCGTTGCCAGGGGTTCTGATGGTGCTGTAGCCACCCTGTCCCTCCACTGGGATGCCCACAGGGTATGGGCCCAAATGGGCTGAGCCTTGGCTCCTTGGGCTGGCTTAAGGGGGGGAGTGGTGGTGCCAGGAGGGCTGGTGGCACCGGGTTATTGAGGCCCTGACACACTGCCATTGGGCCAGATGATGGAATTGGAACCCCAAAGAACAAGCAGTTAAGTGTTGGAAGTCACTTGTCATTTGCTCCTTAGGAGCAACAGGGAGCAGCTGCTGTTGCCACCACTGGGCTTTATTTGGAGTCCAGAAGCCTCATCTATTGAACTAGTGTATATAGCCTGGTCCTGTCTTCTCAACTCACTTTCCAAGGCACGCTTCACCCTGGCCTTGGTGGGAACCCCTGGCAGCCTCGGGCTGGTGAACACAGGCCAATCTCACATCCAACGTCCAGCCCTACCAGTGCCTTAGGACAAAGTCCAGGCAGGGAAGAGGGCAGTCTACTGAGCAGCCCTTCCCCTCCTACTTGGCTCAGTTGCAAGGGCGCTGTCAGCTGGTTCCAATGATCTCATTGTTACCATCAAGGAGGCACCGTGAGGCAGCCCAGGCACACATCTGGGATGGGTTTGCTTTGGATTTGCACCCGGCCTCTTTGGACCCTAGGGACCTCACTAGCCTACTCACCATCCACAGCATGAAAGAACACCAATCATCCAGTGATTGGGAACCAGCATGCACCAAGCCTGGAAACTGGGCTTGTGGGACGGCTGGGGTGAGCTTGAGTGTGAGTGGGTGCAGGGATGTCTGCCTGGGGTCATTTATACAACTATACATGAGCCATCACAAAGATGATGAGGAGGGGTTGGGGAGGTGGCTCAGTGGTAGAGTGCTTGCCTTGCCTGCATGAGGCCCTGGGTTCGATTCCTCAGCACCACATAAGCAGAAAAGGCCAGAAGTGGCACTGTGGCTCAAGTAGCTAGAGTGCTAGCCTTGAGCTGAAGAGCTGAGGAACAGCGCCTCAGAGTTCAGGCCCCACAACCAGCAAAAAAAAAAAACAAACCAAAAACAAAGATGATGGTGAGGACTTGTGATGCTGACGGCTAGATGTGAAATGAAGGAAGGAAGGGCCTTCTGTTCTTGCCCTCCAGCCCAAGGCACACCTGAGTCACAGGGCCCCCTGCTGGTGACCCAGCTCTGCCACAAGGACTACATGAGGCATGGGTGAAAAAGTCTTTGCTGAAGACGTGTGGATGGCCCTGGGCCCAAACCATGCAACCAGGACAGGGACTCAGAGAAGGTGGACACGGGAAGGCGTGGCCCGGGGAAGGCGGACAAGGCGTGGCAATGGCAAGCCAAGAGCAGTGACTGTTTATTGAAAGAAGCAAAGGAGGGCTGGGGGTGCTGTGCTCAGGCCTGGATGTGACTCTTTGCGCTGAAAGCCAGGTAGTAGATCACCAGGCCTATTGCTGCAGCCAGCACCTCGGTAGATACCCAGGGCCCATTCCAGGTGCCCTGCAAGGAAAGGGACCGTGTGGAAGGCAGCTCAGTCAGGGGACTGACAAGTGATTGTTGAGCCAACTTTAGTTGCTTGTTCTCTGGGCATCAAGACACATACTGGCCGATGCCAGCCAAGTAGGCAGAGCAAGGCGCTGGGGGATGGGGGACGGGGGTGGGGGGTGGGGCTTCCCTCAGGCCCAACTCCCCAACTCAAAAACCCAAATGATGAGGGGCATGTTCCCATAATGAGACCACTTACCCTATGGTCCACACTGACTGTGAAAAGGGGCGAGATGATGGAAATGTCTTCATTATTTCTCTGAGCCTGGAAGGGAGGTGCTGGGATCAAGAAGGGCTCAGTAGACTGGCCAGATGAGGTAGAGAGGGGTAGGAGTGGTGGGAGTACTGGCCCCAGTCATGGAAGAGCAAAGGGGGAAAACAGGCAAGAAAGAAGGGACAGGTGGAGCAATAGCGCATCCTGCCCCACACATGTAAGGATGCTAGTGGAGTGAAGCTCCAGTAGGGGACAGAAAGGTTAGCAGGCTAGAGCTTGCTGTGGGTAACAGGCATGCCTTGTGTTCTTGGGGATTTGGGAAGGGATCCAGATGACACTCACCTTCCTTAAGAGGCTATAGGACTCCTCATCGAAGAATCTGACCTCATAGGTACCTGCGTGGGCGTTCTTGTGGTCCAGGCTCCAGGACACCTGGTTGGTAGAGTTTAGCGGGGAGTGGGCAGAGTGGACACAGGAGGGACCGCCTTGCCAGTGCTGGCACACTAGATCTCCAAGCAGGCCCCAAGTCCTGGAACCCTGACCCTGCATCAAGTTCTAATGACAAGCAGGAGGTGGTAGCCGTCCCCAACCCTGGACTTGGCATTCTTACCTGGTAACGGCCCACATCCTGACCCCGGGTCACGGGAAATTGTTTTCCACTGACATCAGCATAAAGAGCCATGTTCTGGGTTTAGGGGAAGAACAAAGGGAGTCACAACCTTTTCTGGACATGGCTCACCAAAAAGTAACCACAGGAATAGGCCAACAATAACCCAGACCCAGGTTACTGATAGAGTCCGTATCTTTCCCCATCTGCCTCCCTTGGGGAGATAAGCCCCCACTCCCTATTATAGCCTATGCTGGCCTAATGACCAGAGTGTTAACTATGAACAGGTGGGATGCTAGAAAGGCCTTCGTTATTTCTCAGAGCTCACAAGGGAGGTGCTAGGGTTGGTGGCTGAATAAGCTTCCCAAGAGACCCTTACCTAAATAGTGCAAAGGACTTTTGGGAAGATGGGTCAGAGCTCCTCAAGCTCAAAGTTGTTTACAAAATACATACTCTGGCAAAGTATATCAGAAAAGGAATTAGGGGCCTGGAGGTTAGGCCCAGTCATTTCTCAAGTTCCAGACATTCATTCCGGAAACAGTGGGGTGTCTACCCAATGCTACTGAACGCAGGCAAAGCATGTCAGGAAAATACTCTTGCTCCCAATGAATGGGAAGCCTTGTTCTGTTACCGCATCCTAAGGTCAGATTGTTGATTGCCAGTGAGGGGCAATGTTTCCCGCTTCCCCCTGCATCCTCCCAGCTGAAATCCCACCTTCTCACCTGTACCCTGTTCTTGCATGTCAGAGAGATCTCTACAATGAAGACCGTCTCAGTGGAAATGACTGCGTCCGAAGTAGTATAGTAGGAAGGGGTGATCTGGGGCTCCAAGCAGGCCTCTGCTGTGGAGAAGAGGCAAGGCCAACTCGTGTGAATGCTGGGTTGAGGACAGAAAGGGCGTGCCTGGACTCTCGCTTCCACACCAAATCAGTTGACAATATGCATAGGTCCTTCTGCTCCAGCCAGGAGGGGTCTGGGAGCAAAATCCCAGCACTCAAGTACAGTGGAAAGGGAGGGTGTACTGGCCTCGAACAGGCCCAGAAAGGGCAGGAAAGCTCTACAGAGCAGGACTTCAATGCAACAGGAGGGAAGAGAATATGTGTCTGGGCAGCACAGGAAGTGGATTCACTGTATGACTCGGATCTGTGCACCCCAAAAGCCAAGAGGGACAAGCCAGCCTCAAACTGGGTGCTGGCAATGCGTGTTTCAAGATGATGAAAAGGGTCTCTGCATCAACCAAGTCAAGGCTGGCCCCAGTGTTCCCCAAAAGGCACCAATAAAAGAGGCTCTGGATCCAAGTACACAACATGTCTCAGTACACTAGGCAGCCCCAAGAAAGCTGTAACCATCCCACACTACTTTAAGTGGGGAAGTTCTCAACCAATTGCTCTCCAAATGGGATGTCTGGCTAGAGTGACTGTTTGAGGAAGTCAGATAAGACTTTGGGTCTGTGTGGCCCAAGGAAGATGCCTGGGAATGGGAGTAGGAAGTCATTCTCAGGACTCAGATTTTGCAGGCTTCTCCGCCCAGCTAAGTTGCAGTCTTTTTCCTGTGGATAAGGAGGGGCTTCTGGCCAAGTTTTACAGCCAGGCTGGTCCTTTCAAGCTAGCCCTGGTTACAGCTTGGGGAGAGAGAGTGTGGGAAGTGTAGCCTTTAGTACAACAGCTCCAACTCAGACCCGATGTGCCGGCTTTAACAATCTCCCAAACACTTCCAGCACTGCAGGCTGAGCTCAACTCTGCCACCAGGTGTTAAGAAGATAACATGAATATAAATCAATGGGACCGTGGCTCACTGCAAACTCTGGACACACTAGGAAAGTCACCTCACCAGTCTCTGGCCTGGCACTCAAGGCCCCGGCTCACTTCTTCGGCATCCTATCTAACTTGCCATGCTGTCTCCCGCTGCTGGGACAGTCTTTGCCCTCTCTCACTTCTCTCTCAGTTTGCTGGGGAAGCTTCGCCTTGCCCGCACTGGCTCCTCCCTGGCAGTCCCGTCTCTCCCAGCGACTGCTGAGCGCTGTGGAGTTTTGCTCCTGTCCCAACTACCACTGAGGCAGGGAGCAGGAGAAGCAGGGACGTGTCATCTTCCCCACAGGAGCCGGGTGGCCGGGAACACAGTGCAGGATTTGGGACTCTCCCGCGAGCAAAAGAGAGAAAAAAAGGCTTAGCGGCTTCTGCCAGCAGCCTGGTGGGTGGGCAAACGTGTGTGGTGCTTTGGTCGCCGCGCCCCGCAGCGACAGGCCCCGGTAATGTCCACATCCCCACCTCGCCCGCACCCCTTCCTCTCCCCCCACCCCCACCCCCCAGCACCACCTGCCGCGGGACAGAGGCTCGCCAGAAGCAAGCTCCGGCCAGGCCGCTACCTGAGCAGCAAGAGAGGCCGGACAGCAGGAGTAGCGCCAGGGCGCCGAGAGATGCCATCGCCGCCATCGCCTCTTCTCTGCCGATGGGAAAAGAGAGCAAGCTACCCTGAACACGCGGAGCAGACGAGGAAGCGCGACGCGTAAGCGGCCGCAGCAGCCAATCGCGTGTCGGCGGGCTAGGCTGGACTGCGTGACGTTGCTGGCGGCACTGACGTGTCCCCTCCCCGAGCCAGGGGTACTGCCGGCTGCGCTCCCCCCACAAGATGGCGGCCACGACACTCGAAACACCGGAAAGGGGCGTGGGAACCGGCGCCGCTGTGCGCCTGCTCAATACAGGGCTCACGCCTTCCTCTTGAATTGCTCCCTTCGTCGAACTCTCGCGAGAACAGTGTCTTCAGGTTGGGATCTGCTGCTGCTGCTGTCACTTTCCGTCATGGCGCTCAAGGTGGCCACTGCCATCAGCGGCGCTGCAAAGGCAGTGCTCAGGCCATCCCTGTTCTGCCGTCCTTGGGAGGTGAGTAGGGGAGCAGGTGCAGGACAGCTGAAGTCACCGCCGAGAAAGTTTGCACCCCATTGTGGCCCGGGCGCGGCCGAAGCTCCTGAAACAGCTTGGAGTTCCATTGGTTGCGGTCTCCGGGAGGGGCGGGCAGAATGATGAGCGCCGGGTTCATTGGCCACCTCCGATGTCAGTGAGGGGCGGGGGGTGGGGTGGGGAATTGATTCAAGTCGGCCCTGGTCTGTATCGGGTGGCAGGGGCTCCATAGGGATCCGGAGGGTCGGCCTCGGAGGCCGGGTGTCACCGCCTTAAGTCTCCTTGGGAAGGTTCTCCCAAGGCGATCACGTGTTCGGACTCGCCTTGCCGGTACCGCTTTGGGTATCCCGTTCCTGGACTCAGTTCCTCCTCAGGTTTCCCTCTCGTGGACCACTTTGTCCTCTGTCCCCGAGAAGCTGTAAAATCACACTTTACCGAATCAACACTGCTACCTTCCAGTCTTAGGGCCTCTAATTTTAGCCTCCTGCAAGCGCCTGTAACGAGAGGGAGCTAGCTAGAGTTTCTGAGGCTGCTGGACGCCGCTGGGGCTTTGCTTCCCCAGTTCTCCGTTTGGGTTCTTGGGTATTCAGCTACAATTCTCCCGTGGTAGGTAAGGATACCTTAGGTCCTGATTAGTACTGCTTACCAGCAGCTAGCCAACACTGGCCCTGGGGAATAAGAGATGACCTCCAGGCCATGCTACCCCACTGACCCACTACATGGCCTTAGGCCAGTTCCCTCCTCTGGCTTGGTTCAGTCTCCCCTCTGTCCAATGGGGGGAGGGGACTTCATGTTCTCAAAGCATCCTGTCAACTCTGACCTTCTAGATCTACACGATTTTGCTGACACTCCCTGGGAACACTTCCACTGCCTATGTTTCCCCCTTCTGTTCTCTGAGAGAAATGGCATATGCTTTATGCAATTATCTTTACAATCTGATTACGTCCACTTTGCAGATGTGAGGACAGAGGCAAATAGAGGATTTCCAGAGGCTTTGTGGGCTTCAGTAGTTAGGCAACTTCTGCCAGTGTTTTTTCCCCTTGGTACTAGGGTTTGAACTCAGTCTAGCACTTGCAAGACTTGAGTTCTGCTACTTGAGCCACACACACCCCAGCCTTTTTGCTTTTCTTATTTTCAGAACCATTTTTTTTTTTTGGCCTGAGTGTGATCCCTTGAGTACTTGTAATGACAGGTGATAGCCACCATGTTTGGTTTTTATTGGTTGAGATGGGGTCTTGTGAACTTTTTGTCCAGGCTGTCCTGCAACAGGGATCCTTCTGATCTCAGCCTCCCCAGTAGCTACGTTATAGATGGGAGCCACCAACACCCATTTTCCTGCAGTTGTTTGGTGATGATACTGAGATTTGACCTTAAGGTATCACAAATGCTAGGCCTGTACTCTACCACTTAAACTATACTCCCAGTTCCTTCTTGCAGGTTCTTCTTGTGCGTGTGTGTACTGTAATTTGAATTCAGGACCTCAGATTCTCAGCTTTTTTTGCTCAAGTCTTATGGACTTTCCTGCCCAGGCTGGCTTTGAACCATGATCCTCAGATCTTACCCTCTTGGGTAGCTGCAGTTACAGGCATGAGTCACTGGTGCCCAGCCTCCCACAAGTTCTTTTTTTTTTTTTTTTCCTGGCTCTTATTTTCTAGGTTTTATTGTAAAGAAAATTTTACCTACCAGGAAAGCAAGTAGAGATGTAATTTTGTTGGAATTAATTATAACTCAAAATTAATCACATAATTTGGCTAATTGATCAGAGGCTTTTGATTTTATAATAACTTTGCAATAATTATTTTCCAGGCAACATTTTTCTAAGCATTTTAGGGAAAAAGTTCAATTAGGCACTTGCTGCCCTCATAGAGAATAGACGATGTAAGCCTGTAATCAGACAATATACTCAGGTCCAATACTTAAGAACCCATTACAGGCCATGGCCAGTATTCAAGTGTCAGATTCTTTTTTTTTTTTTTTTATTTGTGAACATACTGTACAGAGGGGTTACAATTACATGGGCAGGATAATGCGTACATTTCTTACCAAGCATTGCAGCCTCCTCCTTTGTTTACCCTTCACATCCCTTCCCAGCCTCTCCCCTCCCCCTCTCTTTTTTTTTTTGGGGGGGTCTGGTAGTGGGGCCTGAACTCTGGGCCTGGGCGCTGTCCCTCAGCTCTTCAGCTCAAGGCTAGCGCTCTACCACTTGAGCCACAGCACCACTTCCGGCTTTTTTTTCTTTTTGCTTATGTGGTGCTGAGGAATCGAACCCAGGGCCTCGAGCATGCAAGGCAAGCGCTCTACCACTGAGCCACCTTCCCAGCCCTCCCACAAGTTCTTGATGAACCTATCTCCTCTTTAATTCCCTGTCAGAGCGTGTGCGTCCTTGTTGGGGCTGGAACAGGGGCAGTGAATAGTTGTTAGCCACGTAATTGCTTGCCACAGACTGATTATCTGAAGTAAGAGAACCCTTATAGAGGGTCCCTCTGCTTGGTACCTCCTGGAAAAGCATGCAGCCACTATTGACACGTGAGCAGACACAAATTTGCCAAAGAAAGAATTCTTGGTAAGATGTGGCATATAGGAGCCTTTCAATGGAAGGACTTTGCACTTCATCCTGTCTTTCCATGGCACTATTGGAGTGCAATGGTTGAGTAGGAAGCCTGCATATGCCCAAGCCTGCCTCAGAGTAGCTGCTTCAATTGTAGCTTTACAGGGCCACTTGGGTATGAGGTGGAGCCTTTGGAATCCCCTGAAGGAAAATACTTGCCTCTGGAGGGAGCATGGCCAACCATGTGTCTGGAGAGTTCTCTGGGATTTTGGACCAAACCCAGTGGGATGTCTAGCATAGGAAGCAGGTGCTGGAGAGCTGGGAGTGATGTTGCCATCCATGGATGGGGCTACACAGACTTAGAGCCAGGACTGGCTCATTGCCACTACCAAAGCCCAGGGGGAAAGAACTACTGGGAGATGCAGGGGTCAGCCCTGCATCCCCCAAGGACACCAACTTTGAACTCTGATCTGATGGGCTGTATGGGCTGGTAGGGGCCTACAAACAGTGGGGGCCTACAAACAGTGTACAGACCTCCTCTTGCGTTAGCTTCCAGCAATCTCATGAAGTCAGTGCTTCCCTTCGTGCATGCTAGGTAAGTGCTTTACCACTAAGCCACATTCCCAGCTCAATGCTTCGCTTCTATGGATTTCTTTCTTTTTTTCTTTCTTTCTTTTTTTTTTGTCAGTTGTGGGGCTTGAACTCAGGGCCTAGGTTCTGTCCCTGAGCTTTTTTGCTCAAGGCTACTACTCTACTACATTGAGCCATATAGTAGGGCCACTTCTGGTTTTTGAGTGGTTAATTGGGAATAAGAGTCTCATGGAGACTTTTCTGACTTGGTACTGCAATCCCCAGATCTGAGCCTCCTGAGTAGCTAGGATTGCAGGCGTGAGCACCTGGCCCCTTCCCATGGATTTCTGACAGGAACATTTAGCCGGCTTGATGGTAGCAAATGGTAGATTTGGACTGAGATCTCACAGATCTCCATTTGTTTCTTCATTTTCTGATGTAATTATTCCTTGTGTTCCCGTTCTTGGAGAGATACTGTGTTGGATCTAGGAGTGACAACTAGAGAGGCATGGGAAGGGAGCGAAACAGCAATAATAACCTGTGGAGGGGACTCGTAGATGGTGAGGACATTCATCCACCCAGACCATGAAGTAACTAGTAGTCTTCGCTATCGTCAGTCTTCAGAAAATGGTTGCATTTTCCTACAGATTGCTTTTTTTGTATGCTAGTCTTGGGGTTTGTACCCAGGGCCTGGGTCCTGCACCTAAGTTTCTTTTGCTCAAGGCTAGCACTCTGCTACCGGAGCCACAGCCCCACTTCTGGCTTTTTGGTGGTTCATTGGAGATAAGAGTCTCATGGACTTTCCTGCTCGGGCTGGCTTTGAACTGTGATCCTTAGAGCTCAGCCTCCTGAGTAGGATTACCAGCGTGAGCCACCAGTGCCTAGGTACTCATTGCTTTTGATTTCTGTTTTTTGTTTTTTGTTTTTTTTTCTGCCTAGTTCCCCTTTATTAAGACAGGAAAATAAGGATTCAGTGAGACTAGGTTTTTTATTCTATTAGACCCCTCCCCCACACAACATTCTAGGAAGCAAAGTAACACAACAAAGAACAATGGTGTGAACAATGAAATATATAAATAAGATCTTCTGTTTTAATTTTTTTTATCCATATCCAGTACAAATAGCCAATTATACGTTCTGCAATAGATTAGGAATTAACAGGGACATATAAGACCATACTCATGAGCTTCAAATGACTAAGCTGGAAGCATTAGCAAACTCCAAGAATGGACAGTGCAAAGGCTATAATAGGCTTAGCGCTGCTATTTAAAGTAATGCATTTTCTCTGCTTTTTGAATTCATTTCACCAAACCATCTCCTTAGCAGGTCAGATATATTTTGATTTCTGTTTTAAAGGGCTTATCTCAGCAATAGGATATTGTCTTCTTACCTCCCTGTTCTGACATACTGTAGTGACTATATTGGGTTTGTAGTAAAGAAAATCCTGAGAGAAGACGTGATAGCACAGAAATTGTAGTGAAGCGATTCCTTTCTGCAGAGAGAGAAGGCCAGCTCTTGCCAACTTGACTTTTGGGGCTGGATGTTGATAATGTTGACCCTTGCCTTGTCTTTGGCAGGTGCTGTGTGCCCAGGAGGCTCCCCGGAGGAGCATCTCCTCAGTAAGTACCTCTCTGAGAAGTGTGTGCCCACGTGCGTGTTTCTGTATCTTTGTGCGTGTATACACACATCAGTGTATACACACGATGTGTACATATGTGTGTACACATCTGCCTGCACCTTGTTGTTCCCTGGCTTTCATGTCCTTCCCTCCGAGGCATGGTCTCCAGAGGTCACTCACCTCGCCCTTCCCTGAGTTGTGCTAGACAGCGTCTCCAGGGGAAAGGCCTTGGTTCTCTGGTCACTGCCTTGTACCTCCAACCTTGGCTGATCCGTGTCTTCTTCCTTTCTGTCCTCCCTCTAGCAACAAACAATTGTGAGTATTCTGTTCCTTCTCTGTGCTAGATTTGAGGGGCTCTTAGTTGCTCTGGGATTATCCCAAGTGCAGGTGGGCTGCTGCTGACCAGGGAGCCCCAGCAGGATGGCCCTGTCTTGGATGGGGGAATCCCTGCTGGCCTAGCTGGCACCTTAAGGTTGGCTCACCTGTGGGACCAGTGATGATGGGAAGAAAGGACCTGGCTCAAGCCCTTGGACACATGTAGATGACCCAAAGGCTCACCTCTCCATTCTCCCTCCTTCCAGCCTCCGTCAGCTAAGTATGGTGGGCGGCACACAGTGACTATGATCCCAGGGGATGGCATTGGACCAGAGCTCATGCTGCATGTTAAGTCTGTGTTCAGGTATGGCTATACTTGTCCCCAGGGAGGGTGGTGTCCCAGGCCCAGCCAGCGGTTTCCTCAGACCTCTGTGCCAAGATGCCCAGTGTGAGCCCAACAATTGTAGCTATGCTTAAATGCCTGGTGAGATGGAGACAGGGAGGCCTGTAAGACCAGGCCTTGTATTCCAGTACCTCTCATCAGGCTGACCTGGGCATGGGGAAGATAACATGAGTCCTGCTTCCTAGCCCATTGTGGAATTCAGGGTTGACTTTATCAGTCAGAAAGGGTGGGCCCAGTCCCTTCTCAGCCAGGGCCAGGGGAGAAGGGGCAGGGAAGAGGCCTTGGCATGCACCGGCCTGGGTGGGTCTCCTGGAGGAAGCACCGGCTGCCCTAGGCCAGCCTGCTTGATGCTACGTCTTCCCAGGCATGCGTGTGTGCCTGTGGACTTTGAAGAAGTGCATGTGAGCTCCAATGCTGACGAAGAGGACATCCGCAACGCCATCATGGCCATCCGCCGCAACCGTGTGGCCTTGAAGGGTGAGTTCAGGGGCTACGCTGAGGTGCTAAGTAAGATTCCTTTTACCTCTGGGCACCAGTAGCTCACATCTGTCATCCTAGCTACTCAGAAGGCTGAGACAGAGGGTCCTGGTGTGAGGGCAGGAGTCTTTGAGACTCTTATTTTCAATAAACCATAAAAAACCAAAAGTGGGGGCTGGGAAGGTGGCTCAGTGGTAGAGCACTTGCCTTGCATGCCTGAGGCCCTGAGTTTGATTCCTCAGCACCACATAAGCAAAAAGAAAAAGCCAGAAGTGGCACTGTGGCTCAAGTGGTAGAGCGCTAGCCTTGAGCTGAGGGACAGCGCCCAGGCCCAGAGTTCAGGCCCCACGACCAGAACCCCCCCCCCAAAAAAAAAGAATTGTATCTGTATACCACCTCTACAATAACAATAAAATATCTTTAAAAAAAAAACCAAAAAAACAAAAAGTGGAGTTTGGCTCAAGTGGTGGAGCACTAGCCTTGAACACAAAAGCTCAGGCACAATACCCAGGCCTGGAGTTCAAGCCCTGGGACTGGCAAAAATTAAAAAAAAGATTCCTTTTACCACTGACTAGACTCTAGTGGGCCCCACTGGCTTCAGTTGAGAGGTTTTCTGGCTGGAGAGGACTCTCTTCGTTGGAGTCTATGTTGCTTCTCTGGGCCTTGTGATGCTCTGACTTCGAGACCTTGATGTGTCCAGGCCTTGTGGCCTCCTTCCTGCCCTCCTTCTCCTTAGACAGCATTCTACCCACACCAGCTTTGGTGCTGAGTCTTTCTTCACAGACCAAAGCAGGGAAACCGTTCTGCAGTTCCGGCCCTCCGCCCACTGCCTTGGCTCTGGCCGCCACAGCTGTTCATGTTGTAGACCGGGATTCCCGTTACCTCTCCTGGCTTACCATGCTTGTGCCTAGGTGCTTCACTAACACCAGTCATCTGTGTGCAAGCCCCAGGTGCTGGCAGTCCCCTGGACCTAAGGCCAGCCGCAGGGTGCCCTCACTAGTTTAAGTGAAGTCAGCCTGGGCTGGGGGCACCTTGAAGGGACAGGCAGTCCTGCTGAGCTAAGAAAGGCCTCTCTGCCTGGCACCTCCTGGCTGCCTTCTCCCAGCAGCTTCTGTCTCCTAGCCTCACGGGACCTCTGCTTTCCCTCCTCTGGGTGCCAAGGCAACAGGGCAGGGCTTGGCTCAGCCAAGCTATGGTCTACTTATGGTCTTTTCTAGACAGTCACTACATGGCTCTGAGCTGGGGATTGTGTAGTGCCTTGGTGTGAGGCCTGGCAGGAACCTCAGTAAAGGTCACCTTGTTAGCACCAATTTGGCCAGGCAGGCTGCGCATAAATAGGATTGGTTACTTTTTCTTTTTCTTTTTTTTTTTTGACAGTCCCGGGACTTGAACTCAGGGCCTGGCAATGTCCCTGAGCTTCTTTTGCTCAAGGCTAGCCACTGTACCACTTGAGCCACAGTGCCACTTCCGGCTTTTTCTGTGTATGTTTTTCTGAGGGATCGAACCCAGGGCTTCATGCATGCTAGGCAAGCTCTCTACCACTAAGCCACATTCCCAGCCCAGAATTGGTTACTTTTCCTTGATACAGGAGGAAGCCTGAGCATAGAGTGGGCAGAGCTTACTGGCCAGCTGCCAATTGTATTTATTCAATAAGTTTATTCACTTGATAGATATTTATTGAGTGTCTACTAGGTGCCAGGTGTTTTTTTAGGTCCTTGGTACCCACTATCAACTGCCCTCCCCCACATACCCCATACCGTCTGCCTTTGTGGGGCCTACATTGCAGATTACATCCTAGTGTTCCATGAAATATTTTGTTCTTGAAAGCTACTTGTCCTCCAGCTGGACCAGCTCTCTGTGCACTTCTCCTGGCCAGGCAGGGGGATGTGGCAGCACAGCTAAGCCTGGGCTCCCTTCTCCAGCCTGCTTGCCTTGCTCTTGTTTTGTAGGCAACATCGAAACCAACCATAACTTGCCACCTTCCCACAAATCCCGAAACAACATCCTTCGGTGAGCCCAGAGCCTGGGGTGGATTGGTGGAGGTCAGCAAGTCTGCACTGAGAGGGCTTCACACCCTCTGGCAAGATGCCAGTCCAGCCTCGCCTACCTCTTCTCTCCTCTGGCCCCCTTCCAGCACCAGCCTGGACCTCTATGCCAATGTCATCCACTGTAAGAGCCTGCCGGGAGTGGTGACCCGCCACAAGGACATAGACATCCTCATCGTGCGGGAGAACACAGAGGGCGAATACAGCAGCCTGGAGCATGAGGTAGCAAAGCTGTGGGACTCTCGTGGGTTATGACAGTGGCATATGAGTGTGACGAGGGCCGTTGTAGACGAGAGACCTCAAGGAACCAAGAAAAGGCAGCCCAGCAAAGGTCATGGTGATGCCTGGGGAGAAGCCAGAAGTACTCAGCAACAGGGTTGCGTCGTGGCACAACCATTATGCCCTTCTCTCCTGCTCCTTCGCAGAGTGTGACGGGAGTGGTGGAGAGCCTGAAGATCATCACCAAGGCCAAGTCCCTGCGCATCGCTGAGTATGCCTTCAAGCTGGCCCATGAGAGTGGGCGTAAGAAAGTGACGGCTGTGCACAAGGCCAATATCATGTATGTCCCTCGCGTGCCCGGAAGCGGCTCTGGAACGGCTTGCTCAGCTCTTTTTTATTTTTTATTTTTGTGTCGTTCCTGGGGCTTGAACTCGGGGTCTGAGTGCTGTCCCTGAGCTTTTGTATGCGGGACTAGCGCCCTACACCTTGAGCCTCGGCTCCATTTTCAGCTTCTTGCTGGTTCATTGGAGATGAGAGTCCACAGACTTTCCTGCCTGGGCTGGCTTTGAACCATGATCCTCAGATCTCAACCTTCTGAGTAGGTGAGATTATAGGCATGAGCGACCGGCGCCTGGTTCAGCTCTTTTCTGACACTCAGTTTCTAGAACAGTGGCTGCCCATCAAGGAGCCATGCCCAGGGTTGTGCCCTGGTGTCTCCAAAGGTCTGTACCCTGGCCAGAGTGTATTCTCAGGGAAGATGGGCTGGGGTCATGCCCCTTGAGCAAGCGGGGGCAAGTTAAAGGCTAGTCCTCAGGCTTCCATGGCCCTTGGCATGCTTCACCCCTCCAGCTAACTATAGTGATGAGCCAAGATGGTATCCTGTGTCTCTCCTACCTCACCTCTGCCTAGGAAACTAGGTGACGGGCTCTTTCTCCAGTGCTGCAGGGAGGTGGCGGCTCACTACCCCCAGATCACCTTCGAGAACATGATTGTGGACAACACCACCATGCAGGTTATTAGTTTCCCTGGCTCCACAGCCTCCTGCCCTGGGCATCGCAGCTTCTCCAACTCAGCTCCCTCCTTGTCCCGCAGCTGGTATCGCGGCCCCAGCAATTTGATGTCATGGTGATGCCCAATCTCTACGGCAACATTGTTAACAACGTCTGTGCGGGGCTGGTCGGGGGCCCAGGCCTTGTGGCTGGGGCCAACTATGGCCACGTGTATGCAGTGTTTGAGACAGTGAGTGTCTAGGAGGGCAGCCCTGCCCTTTCTTCTTGTCTCAGCAGCCATGGGGGTGGGGAGTTGTATTTCATGTCCCACGCAGTACTGTGCAGCCATTAGCACTACTGACATGCTCACAAATGTGGCGTTCTGAGAGAAATCTCTGGACCTTTACACACCCCCATCCCCTCTCCTGATGTCCCCTCCCCTGCTCTATGTCTGTGGGCATGCCTGTGTTGGACATGTTAACGCGTCCCTCCTGTCCTTTGCAGGCTACAAGGAACACTGGCAAGAGTATTGCCAACAAGAACATTGCTAACCCCACAGCCACACTGCTAGCAAGTTGCATGATGCTGGACCACCTCAAGTAAGTGGCACCCTCACGCCTGTCTCTGTGCTCTCAGCCGGTCCTCTAGGCCTTGGTGACCAAAGGCTGTCTCTGTTCTGCTCCTCTAGGCTTCACTCCTATGCCACTTCCATCCGCAAAGCTGTCTTGGCGTCCATGGACAACGAAAACGTAAGGTTCCACTCCCCTGTCTGGTGTTGAGCTGGCGTGGCTGGGCTGAGGGGCTGGACATAGCCATCAGCACGGATTTTGGCCTCTAGAGGAAGAGCGGTCTGAGGTTGGGTGGGGTTTCTGGGCCTTAGCTGGTCCTCCTGCCCTCCCAGTGACAGTTCCAGGGAGACAGTTCAGCATCCATGGGTTGCCTGAGGGGTGAGGGCAGACATTGGCAGGCCTGGTGTGCCCAAGTGGCTTTGTCTCCCCAGATGCACACTCCGGATATTGGGGGCCAGGGCACTACGTCCGAAGCCATCCAGGACATCATCCGCCACATCCACATCATCAATGGCCGGGCTGTGGAGGCCTAGTCTCTCCCCGGGGCCCCCTCAGCTGTCCCCTAGAATCCCTGTCACTCCAGCATCCCAGCCTGCTTGGTGGGTAGACCCCAGAATAAACAGCTTCTACACTAGACCACGGCCATGTGCTTCCCTCACTCTGGGACAGGAGTGTTTCAGCTCATACTTTATTAAGAAAAGGAAATACACGCACTCTTTCCCTCTCAGAGAACCCTGTAGGTGTATTGTGGGCAGACGCTGCGTGGCGGGCCTGGCCCCGTCTGCCCAGCCATGGGGTATGAAGGAGCTAGTACTAGCAGGGTAGGTGAAGGAAGCTCTGCTTTCCTTGAAGGCACTGAGCCGGGGCTAAAGCTCGCCCGGCCTGCTCCTGACGCGGTGATGAAGCTAGGGGTTGAGCCACGGGTGCTGGAGGCAGTCCGCAGCGCTGGCCCGCTTCTCCGGGATGTATTCCATCATGGGCAGCAGGAAGGCGCTGAACTGCGTGGCCTGCTCCAGGGGCCACTCGTACTTCTCCATGAGCACCTCGTACAGGCCCCAGTGCTTGAGGTTGTGGATGTGCCGCAGCTCTCCTGGGGGCCAGGAAGCCTCAGAGTGAAGCAGAAGGTTTCCTCCCCTTCCCCCACCGACCCACCCAGGCCTGAGCCCGCTCAGCCCCCACCTCTGCGGTTGAAGAACTCGCGGGAGTAGCGGCCTGAGAGGGCAAAGGCAGGAGGGATGTCTCCCAGAAGCTCCACAATGTGAGCGATGTGGTCTGTGGGCACAGAGGAGGTTGGCGAGCTGGGCCTGTGGGCTTCAGGCCATGGAGCTGAGCCCAAGGCCTGCCTCCCCTACCCTCATCACGACTGTAGTCTTCTCCAGAGTGAGGCTCGAACAGATAGTCGCCAGTGGCTAGCTCGAAGGCCTAGAAGGAGGGGTTGGTGAGGCTTCTGGCAGACAAGCCACCCTGGGCGAGGGGGCATCCAGGATTGCAGGGCATACCATGCACGCTGTGCTCCAGATGTCAGCCGGGGGGCCGTACTCTGCACCAATCAGCACCTCCACTGCCCGGTACTGCCGAGTCTGAATGTCCTCAGTGAAGTGCTTGTGCTGAAGGCAAGGGGACCCCTGGAGACTGGAGCCTGGGCCACACTGGCGCTGCCGCCCTGCCCTCCCTCCCCACCCTCCCACTGCTCCATGCACCTGACAGCTCTATGAGGCTCACTCTAATTCTTTTTTTTTTTTGGTCGGTCGTGGGGCCTGAACTCTGGGCCTGGGCGCTGTCCCTCAGCTCTTCAGCTCAAGGTGAGCGCTCTACCGCTTGAGCTACAGCACCACTTCCGGTTTTCTGGTGGTTCATTGAAGACAAGAGTCATAGACTTTCCTGCCTGGCTGGCTTTGAACCGTGATCCTCAGATCTCAGCCTCCTGAGCAGCTAGGATAACAGGCATGAGCCACCAGTGCCGGACTCTCACAGACCCACAGATTCTAGGGGGAGTGGCCAGGCAGCCTGGCGCCGCCCCTGCCCCTTGCCATGGGTCCTGCCGACTGGGCAGAAACCTGCTGCCCCAGGACAGCGGCAGGAAGTTGCTCTCAGTTCTGCCCGGAACTGCCACACCAGCCTCATGCCATACAAGGGGGTGTGTGCCCTGTGGGCCCAGGCAGGGCTCCCCAGGAGCAGCCTGCTTCCCCAAGGTACGCATACCACCCAGCAGGCATTGCCCAAGTCTGCGATCTTGATCTTGATCTTGTCTGCGTTTTGGGGCTCCAGGGGGTTCACCAGGAGGTTCGAAGCGCCGAATGGTGCTGAGGAGAGAAGAGGAGGGAAAGCAACTGAACTGGCCCAGCTCATCCCACCCCTGCCAGTCTGCTGCCCACTGTCAGCCACACTTACTACTGGGCGACAGGAGGCCCCCAGTCTCCCGCTGGTTCGATGAGCCTGAGAGGATGGAGCAGGAGGCTGGCGAGAACAGCGAGCCCGAGAAGCCTGAGGTCTGCGAGCTGGGGCTGAGGCTGCGGTTGCCCCCACGAGCAGGGGAAGAGGAGGCTGAGGAGGGACCGGCCCTGGCACCCCCTGGGTGGCAGCCAGAAGATGAGGTGGAGCCGCTGCCCCCCTCTAGTCTTGAGCCAGAATCTGGGAAGAGGGGGCAGAGGTGTGCATGAGCAGAGGCCGGCAGCCTGTGTGTGCTGTGTAGCCCAGCACCCTCTCTGGTCCTCACCCTCGGCCTGGGCTGCGGCTTCCATGGCCTCCAGCCTCTGCAGATCCCGCAGCCGCTCCTCCAGCAGCCGCTTCTGCTGTTTGCGTTTGCGCCTCATCTTCTTCCTCTTGTTTTTGGACAGCTTACCAGTCTGCTGCCAAAGTCAGGGTCACCCCCCCAGGAACCCGGAGCTCCCCTTGGTCCCAACCCCTAACTTAATCTACGTATCTCTCTGCCTCCCTTCTTGTTTTTCTAGTGCTTAAAGCTCCGACCTGTCCCTGTTTCCCCCCCACCCCACCCCACCCCAGGCTAAGGCAATCTGAAGTAGTCATTTGGGGGAGACACAGTGTCCTTCCACGGAGGCCATGATGGGCTCAGGTGCTGGCAAGGGCAGTTTGGGGCACATGACCCTCTGCATCTTTCTCATGGGGTCATCCAGCCTTTTAGAAGTGCCACTGCGGGCACGTGGGGGTGGGGCGGGACACGTGGGCTGAGGAGATCAGCTCTGACAAGATGGCGTCCAGCCCACTCAGGGAGATAGGGAAAAAAAGGGTGCCACCACTTACCAAGACCTCCTGGGGGGCGGTGCTGACTGGGGGGGGTACATGTGGGGATTGAGGGAGAAAAAGATTCAGGCAGAGTGAGGCCCAGAAGCCCAGCCCAGCCCGGCCCAGCCCAGCTCACGGTGTTGATTACCTGTGGAGCGGGACAGCGGGGCGGCACCTGATTGCTGCCACTCAGTGGCCTCGGCAGCCAGGCGCCTGATGTAGGCATCGCCAACGCACAGCAGGATGTTCTCGGGCTTGATGTCTGTGTGAATGATCTTGCACTTGGTATGAAGGTAGTCCAGGCCGTGCAGCACCTGGGGAGAGCCACGAATGAACTCACCTAGTCATGCTCGTGCCAAGCCACGCCCTCCAGGCCACACCTACCTGCCTCACAATACTCTTGACGCAGGCCACGGGCAGCCCCTGGTAGTTGGACTTGATGATCCACTTGAGGAGCTGGTGGCCCAGGACCTCCAGCACCATGCACACATCTGGGGCTGTGAGTGAAGGGCAGCCAGCAGGCATCCGTCTGCCACCCAGGCCCCACCCACTCTCAGCTGTGGAGGGACAGTGAGGCGCTGGCAGTGCAGAGGAGAGGAGATATGCCCTGCGCCATCCTGGTGGTCACTGCTGTCCCAGTCATTATTATTTATAGTGTCCTTGCCACCGTCAGGCGTGCCAGTCGGACTGGCACACTTTGTGGTCATCCTAGATAGAAACCTCTCACACCAGCCCAGTGTCTGCCCAGTTATGCTAAAGGACCTGTGAAGTAGCCTCTGACATTTGGGGGGGGCACTCAGCCACATGCGCCATAACCACCAACCTGAATCCCATGCCCACCTCAACACAAGTGCCCCCAAAGGGTGAGGTTGTTTTGTAGACTGTTAGCTCCAGTGAGCAACAACCCCTGTCGTGCAGCAAACGGAGACCCCCACGCCTGAGAAGGCATAAACCAGCTCGTTCGCTGCCACGCCATTTTGCTCATCCTGTAAAGGATACGAACGCCATTAACCCCCGAGATCCTGAAGTCATCAATAAGCTGAACAATGGTCTCTCTTTTGGGGTCACTAGGATCACTGTCTCGCACCTAGAACAAAAAGCCCAGGGGCCGCAGGTGGCTCCAACCTGCTCCTCACCAGCTGCTCCCCTGAAGCAGCTCTGGTCCCCATTATACCCATGCAGTGGGGTCCCACTTGGGGAAAAGCTTCAGCCACTCCCAGCCCTCTGGCTTCTTTCTCCTCGTCAGGGGGGCCCGCTGGAGCTCACCCCTCTGGGAGCCCCAACAGGCCCTGTACCCACATTGCCAGCCCCTGGGCCATTCCCAGGGGAGCCTGGGGCGGCAGGGGAGGCGTCTCACACATTTCAGGAGCTTGATCTCATCCACAGCTGTCTCCGTGTAATGCCCTGCGCTCTTCACCACTTTCAGGGCCACAAAGCGCTTGCGCCTGCAAAACAGAGACCCTCATTGGCTGCTGTCCCTGGCTACACTCACATGGCCATGGGAGTGGTCTTCACAAAGCCCAGGGGTGAGTGGAAGCCACAGATGGACTCGTGCGAGTCACTCACTGGATGTCCCAACAAAGCCAGACAGTGGAGAAGTGGCCCCAGCCCAGCTTGCGCACCACGTGGTATCGCCCATTGAACAGATCCCCGATCTTCACCGGGTAGTAGCCACCTGCCGAAGGAAACCAACAGAGAATAGTGGGGAAATCGCCCTCCTCCGTCTGTCTGGGAAGCCCAGTCCCGCTGGCCATCTGGCCCCTATGGGACTGGCCTCCAGGCCCCCTACTCCTCCCTGGCTGACCTGAACTTCCTGCAGTAGTAATCTGGCCACACGCACCCAAGACGGGACCTCACCCTTGCAGTAGTCCTTGGGGTCTTCCTGTTCCTCATCATCTGAGCCCAAGAGTCCCTGCAACACCCGGGGGGGTGCTGTGGCCGGGGCTAGTTCCGAGCCCGAGGACCCGGGCCCATAGGAGGTCTGTGAACTGTGGGTAGGGAGGGAGGGTAGGCAGTGAGCGCATGAGGTGCCAGGAACCCCAGGTGCCTGGCTGAGCCATACCTGCTGCTGCTTCCGTCACCACTTTCCCCCCCACCGCCACCGCCTGTGCTGGCGCTCATCCTGCCCTCGGCCCGCCGCTCCGGCACCCTAGGCGGCTGCTCCTGTGGGGCCCTGCAGTGGCCTGTGCATTTATAGCCTCTGCTGCTGATCTCACTCGACTTTATAAATAGAATCCCAGCTGCTCAGCTGTGGGCAAGGTATGCGGTGCAGGGAGGGAGGGGCAGTGCATATTGGTGGCCCGGGAGAACCTGCCCCCCCCAGGCTGAGCCCCTTGGCTTTGCCCCTACCCCAGGAACAGAGGTGGTTGTGGCAGCGACTCAATCTGCAGGCTAAGAGGGCCACCTAGAAGAGGACTAAACAATCTGCAATCCGGAGTGCTTGTCCTCTAGGGCTGACGGTGGTGGGGAAGTGTTAACATGGTGGCCCTGTCCTTAAGCCTCACTTTTTTTTCTTTTTGGTTGGTCGTGGGGCTTGAACTCTGGGCCTGGGCGCTGTCCCTCAGCTCTTCAGCTCAAGGCTAGCACTCTACCACTTGAGCCACAGCGCCACTTCTGGTTTTCTGGTGGTTTATTGGAGTTTAGGCTTCACGGAGGGCTGGGAAGGTGGCTCAGTGGTAGAGCGCTTGCCTTGCATGCATGAGGCCCTGGGTTCAATTCCTCGGCACCACATAAGCAGGAAAAAAAAGCCAGAAGTGATGCTGTGGCTCAAGTGTAGAGCACTCGCCTTGAGCTGAAGAGCTGAGGGACAGTGCCCAGGCCCAGAGTTCAGGCCCCACGACCAGACCAAAAAAAAAAAAAAAGAGCTTCACGGACTTTCCTGCCTAGGCTGGCCTTGAACCTCGATCCTCAGATCTCAGCCTCCTGAGTAGCTAGGATTACAGGTGTGAGCTACTGGCTCCTGGCTTGAGCTTCACTTTTTGTGTGTGTGCTGATCCTGGGCCACAGTTCCCCTTCTGGCTTTTAGCTGCTTCATTGGACTTAAAAGTCTCAGAGACAAGGCTGGGAATGTGGCTTAGTGGTAGAGTGCTTGTCTACCATGCATGAAGCCCTGGGTTCCATTCCTCAGAACCACATATACAGGAAAAGCCAGAAGTGGTGCTGTGGCTTATGTGGTAGACTGGCTAGCCTTGAGCAAAAAGAAGCTCAGGGACAGTGCCCAGACCCTGAGTTCAAGTCCCAGGATTGGAACAAAAAAAAAAAAAAGGTCTCACAGACTTTTCTGCTTGAGCTGGCTTTGAATCATGATCCTCAGGTCTCAGCCTCCTGAGTAGCTAGGATTATAGGTGTGAGCCATCGGCATCCAGCTTGAACCCCACCTCATACTCTTGGGCACAAAACTTTCCAAGCATTCTTGGACATCCCTTAGCTCATTTGAGAGTACTTCCAGAGCCCATGGGAATCATGTTCCCTGTTTATTCGTTGCTCTGTTCCCAGTTTTCCCATGGTCTGCAGGCATCTAAGACAAGAAGGATCCCAGCTCTCCTTGAACGTGGGTGAACGTGGGTGTCATTAGGGCTCCTCTGGCTGAGCCGGAGCCAGAGGGAATTGAGAACTGTGGGTAACTCAGATCTCTGTCGCGGTGACCTGCATGGCCTTCCCTCAGTTCCAGGGCTGGCCGCACACGCTTTGTTTACTGTCCCCATGAATGCTTGCAGGTGCTCACTGTGGGCTACTCTGTCATTTCCACCCTGGGGAACAAACAGCCAACAGTCACTGCCTGTGAGCTGGGCGAGGGCTGCATCTTGAAAGACCAGGAGGAATTGGGCAGTACACCACAAAGCAAGGGCTGTGTAGAGCATGCTAGAAACTTCCACAGGTTGTCAATGCCATAACATGGTTGGGAGCTAGGGGACACCAGCAGAGGGGCCCTGCCTGGGTCTGTGGGTGCCAGTGGGGGCTCCAGTGAGATTGACAACCACTTTTGCTCTTCTTGTTTGTTTTTTTTTTCTTTTTTGACAGTTGTGGGTCCTGAACTCTGGGCCTGAGCGCTGTCCCTCAGCTCTTCAGCTCAAGGCTAGCGCTCTACCACTCAAGCCACAGCACTACTTCCAGCTTTTTCTGCTTATGTGGTGCTGAAGAATGGAACCCAGGGCCTCATGCATGCCAGGCAAGCGCTCTACCACTGAGCCACCTTCCCAGCCCCCACTTTTGCTCTTTAGAAAGCTTATGCTGGCCGGGTTCCGATGGCTTGCGCCTGTAATCCTAACTACTCAGGAGGCTGAGATCTGAGGATCACGGTTCAAAGCCAGTCCCAGCAGGAAAGTCTGTTAGACTCTTATGTCCAATTAACCACTGGAAAACCAGAAGTGGTGCTGTGGCTCAAGTGGTAGAGCACTTGCCTTGAGTTGAAGAGCTCAGGGACAGCACTTAGGCCCAGAGTTCAAGCCCCACGATGGACCAAAAAAAAAAAAAAAAGCTTATTATAGGTGGTTCTAGAAGGAAATAGACGGTCAAGAGTAGAGCTAGGAGGCCAATCATGACCCGCTGGGGAAGTTGGAATGGAGGAGTGTGGCAGTGACAGTGCTTATCTCAAGGTGGAAGACTCACCCAGTGTCCTGGGCCAGAAAAGAGCTGTATGTAGGGGTGGGGCAGGCATAGGTAGGGGGGACAGCTTTCCTGTGCAGGGTGGTCCAGAGAGGAGCGAACAGAGTGAAGACTGGAGAGAGGCTTTGGCCTCGTTCCCTTTGGGCAGCAGATCACAGCCAGAGGGTTAAGGGTGCTCCAATACCCATTTTTTCCCGTTGTCATTTTTCTTTTTTTCTTCCTTAAAAAATATTTTAAGCCAGGCACCGGTGGCTCACGCCTGTAATCCTAACTACTCAGAAGGCTGAGATCTGAGGATTGCGGTTCAAAGTCAGACAGGGCAGGAAAGACCGTGAGACTCCTATCTCCAATAAACCACCAGAAAACCAGAAGTTGTGCTGTGGCTCAAGTGGTAGAGCGCTCGCTTTGAGCTGAAGAGCTGAGGGACACTGCCTATGCCTAGAGTTCAAGCCCCATAACCGACAAAAAAAAAAAAAAGAAAATGTTTTTACTCTTTGGGTTTTTTTTTGGTTCTCTCTCTGTGTCTCTCTGTCTCCTTGTTTCTGTCTCCCTGTCTCTGTCTCTGTCTGTCTCTGTCTCACATTAGTGGAGATGAAACCCAGGGCTTTGCGCAGGCTTTCAAGTTGAATCTTGCAGGGGAAGGCAGGGACTACAGATTGAGCTTTTTTCTAAAAAGATGTATTTGTATTTTATTCCCAGATGTGATTCTCCAGCAAGCAAATAAATACAGTGGGAGAGGGGGTAAGGATTGGTATAAATTAGAAATAAGCGGGGGAATGGTAGATGGCGGGTACCATATCACACCCAGGCTTTGCCAGCCCCTCCTTGGTCACTGGCGGGGCCCCGGGGTCATGAGACACTGCCAGTGCTGGGTCCTGCTTGCTAGTAGTCTCCACGCTGCTGTGAGTCAAACTCACAAGTCAGTCACTTTGTTCTCTACCAGGGCAGCAATTTGCTGTAGGCGGCAGGCCAGCTGCATCTTCTGGGCCACAGGGTCCTCTTCTAGGGCACTAATGATCTGCCAAGGCAGTAGAGGCCCAGGGCCATCCAGTACTGCCTCGATCTTCCCCAGAAGGCATTCCCCAACAGGCCGGTCCCGCCCAGGCTGGAACCTTCCTTTCTCTCTGCCTGGGTTGGGCCACCCCTAGGGAAGTTCTGAGGCCTCTACCTTGGCTTACCTTATTCCAAGTGCCTTACCCCACCCCTCCAGCGTGTCCTGGGCCTCACCTGGTCATAATACCTATGGATGTGGTTGTAGAGTTCCTGCAGAGTCTCCAGACAGTGAGAGGCAGAGGTGTAGTTCTGGCGACAACATGGGGAGGGGGCTGTGAGGATCTACCTAGCTGGGCCTCAAGCCACAAGCCCTTTTCCCCCCAACCCCCCCCCGTCCTGTCAGTCTCCCCATTAAGAATAGAGGGCTGCACACCCTGGGCTACATCTCACCCCTGAGAGCTCAGCCAGAACAGAGTTCATCTCCTGGTAGCTGGCGGGAGAGCTCTGGCGAATGTCTGCATAGTATCTAGAGGAGCCGGAAGAGTTAGGGGAGGGCACCTCAGCCCCGCCCCCCCAGCCCTGATGCTTCTCACACCTACTTCTCCACCATCTGCTTGTAGCGAGGGATCTCCCGGGCGTAGAGCAGTTTATTCACCGGGGAATCCTGCTCCAGGTAAAGGAGGCACAAGGTGACCAGAGTCCCCACCTGCTAGCCCCATGATGCCATCCTGTCACCCCCCCACCCCCACTCTGCACAGAGGCCCCGGGGGTTCCCCCACAAGCTTTTTCTCCTTGTTCTCCTCCAGCACCACTGGCTCGGTCCTCACCCGGCCCACTTTATGTTCTGAGATTGTGCAGGAATCAATGAAGGTCTGCGCAATGACAGCCAAGATGGCGTCCACATTGTCAGGCACTCGCACATCAAAGATGAGCTGTGGGTTCCTCAGCGTGCTCACCCAGAACCGCAGCAACAGGCTAGGGACGCACGTGGAGGGTGGAGATGAGGCGTGGCTCGTTCCTGTCCCCACCCCCACCCCATCCTCAGCTTCTCCAGCTCGCTCTCTTTACAGGGTGCGTAGGTGCTAGAGCTGGGACGTGGACAGCCGAGGCCCATGCTTTGTTCTCATGGCCCAGTGACCTGCACCATCAACTCCCCTATGCGCTCAGGCTGGCAGGGGAGGTCAGTGCACATATCTAGGGTGGAAGCTTCAAAGCTGGGTTTCGTGCCCTAGAAATGCCCTTGTCCCTCTGTGACTGGGAGGGCCACGCACATGGCGAGCATGGGAAAGCTACCTGTTTGTCTTCCAGATGTGCAGGGTCTCAGGGTCCTCGATGCCATGCTTCTCGGCCAGCTCATCCAGGAAGTCAAACAGGTACTTGATGGCGATGGGCACTGGCCGGTTCACACTGAGGATGGCCTGGAAGGTGTCGTCCACGAACTTCTGCAGGGTGCCCTGCAGGGCAGGGGATGAGGGTCATGTGGAAGGCAGAGTGGGATGTGGCCAGTCACCCAGGACCACACTGCGCCCCCAACTCTATCACCCCCTTCCTCCCTCCCCCCCCCCCCCCGCCAGCCACACTGACCTTCATGGACAATAGACGGGTGAGGTAGATTTCTGGAATGGCCTTGGCCCGAGCCCGTTCCCGCTCCCGCTCCCGGAGACTGCTGCGCCTGGCTTTGGCCCCTTCCGGCTCCTCAGCCGCTTTCACTAGGTGCCACAGCCGTAGGCCGTCCTCTTCTGCATCTTCTAGCATGGGGATGTCTGGGGCAGGGAGGGGATGGAAGCATGGCCTCAGTCCTTGGTTCCTGCCCCCCAACCTGTGCCAGTGGCTTAGGATGTGCCGCCCACCCTCCCAGAGGGGTGGGCAGGGTAGAGAGCAATAAGGAGAGGAGGGTCATGTCGAGGGAGTTTGCCTAACCTGACATCCCATGGGTTTGAAACTTCTCCACCTCGGTTTGGCCTATAGCTTTGGCTGGCCCCGCTGGCAAGTTGGGGTGGGTGACCCACGTGGGTCCGACGGCCTGACTGGCTCACCCTTGGTCTGTGGGGAATCTAGCCTAGCCCCCCCGCCCCCCCCCCGGCCCCGATGGCACTCCCAGCAATTGGGCATATCTGGGCCATGAGACTCACTCTCTCCAGAAGGGCAGCTCTGGGCCAGGCTCAGGGACACAGCACCGCCATTGTGTAGCTGCGGGATGAGCCCCACAGTCGCTCCATCTGGGACCTGGGAGCAGATAGAGGAGCAGGATTTGGGCCCTTCACTGGCTCTGAAGCAGGCCCTACGCCCCAGTCGCCCCACTCCAACACCATCCACCCGGCACCTTGTAATGCTGCAGGGTGTTGAGTCTCTTCCAGTGGTTTTGAGTCACTGAGGTCAAGTCCTCATCCGAGAGGGTCAGGTGGCCAGCCAGGCCTGAGCGCCACTCTGAGCACCGAGGGAAGCACATTGGCATAGTCTGTTCCCACTGGTAAAACTAAATGGGAGAGGGCAGGGTGTGGAGAGGGGAGGGGGAGGGCAGGGAGGGGAGGGTTGGCACTCTCACCAAGGTCTAGGGCCTGCACTGAAGGCCTCTGGGAGAAAGGGGTGCCCTTGTAGACTTGGTCCAACACCTTCTCCTTAACTTGGGTGATGGTGTCTGTGTCGAGCACCCGGGCTGGCACTCGCTGCACTTCGCTGCTCCCTGCCACCCCGCCAGTCCCTGGGCCCACCAGCACCATCAGCGTCAGGGGCTGGAACTCCACGTCCTCCCGCAGCAGGTGGCTGTCATTCAGCGTCCGTTTTGCCTTGCCTGTCACGGCATCCACAGGGCCCTTGTCCACCTGGTACTTTATGGCTCGGAAAAGCATGTACAGGGGCTCGCCAGCCACCTCCTGCAACCATCAAAAGGGCATTGTGTCTGGCAAGGCACAGCAGAGCATGATGGGAGTGGGAGGAACAGCCTACAGGAAGGAAGGGAAGGACAGCGGTTCTTGCAAGCCTCTGGACTGGGGCCTCAAGCCCTTCTGACCTCTGACCTACATCCAGCTAGGGAACGAGTCTGGAGCCTTCCCATTCCAGCCCTCTTTTGCTCAGCTTTATAGTGGATCTGCTGAGCAGGGAGAAAGGTCTTAGGACCCAGCCAGAGGCCCCAGGAGAATTTGGGCACAGGCCAGAGAGGCCACAGGCAGGCAGCAGCTCCCAAGTGTGTGACAGCAGAAGGGTACCAGCAAGGGTTGATGGCACAGGCTGGATAGTGCCCCTTACCCTCAGGAAGGCATAGAGACAGATGGACAGCCAGTTGGTGAGCAGCTTCTCCACCATGGTCTCCGTCCTGTGGGGGGGGGAAGCCCAGGTCTCTGGTAAAGATGATCTTCAACCTCCCCCCCCCCCTTTTCTTAAACTCTGGGCCTGGGTGCTGTCCCTCAGCTCTTCAGCTCGAGGCAAGTGTTCTACTGCTTGAGCCACAACCCCACTCTGGCTTTTTGGTGATTAGTAGAGATAAGAGTCTCAGGGACTTTCCTGCCCAGTCTGGCTTTGAACCACGATCTTCAGATCTCAGCCTTCTGACTAGCTAGGATTACAGGTGTGAGCCCCTGGAATCTACCTTCAGCTCCCTTTTTAACCCTGTTCCCAGGGCTCCTGGTATACCACCCCAGGGGCAGAACCCAGGTAAAGACAGGCCAGTGTGGGGCCCCTGCCCCTGCCGCCATGTCTACATCAAGGCCAACCTGCGCAGCATAAGTTTGGGGTTCTTGTGGATGTAATGGGCCGCCAGGTCACCAAGCAAGGTCCTCATGATGTCAGTCAAGTACTCCAGCTTGCCGTGCAGTGCCAGAGACAGCAGCGAAGCCACGTGGCAGCGATCCCTCTGGGAGAAGCTGGGCTGCTCCTCCAGGGTGTGGATGAGCTAGGCAGGGAGCCAGCATTCACTTCAGGACCCCTCCCCCCCAACTTCCCCCCCCCCCCCCCGAGCTGGTCATGCATCTTGCCCTGTCTGACCCACCCCCAGACCCACCTCGCTGCCAGAGGAGGCTCCCTGCTGCCCACCCCGCCCTTGAGTGTCCACGTGGTTCTCACTGTGAGAAGGAAGAGCTTGCTGTTGAGCAGGTTGGAGAGCTGGGTGAGGCCCTGGCACACGGTGGCTCGACGGGCCTCCTCCCCACACCCCTGCAACTCGGGCTGCAGGGGACAGCCACCGTGGCCGGGGAAGAAGGCGCGCTCAGCGTAGGTGTGGTAGTCCAGGAAGGGGATCCCGCTGGCCTCCAGGTCACTGCTGAGGTCCGTCATCTCGGTCATGAGGTCTGCAGGCAAGGAACCCACACGCTGTGGGCCCAGGCCTCGTGGGGCCCTCGGCACCCTCACCCTCGCGCCAAGCACCGTACCTGTGAACTCTTTGCGGCACTGGTCGCCCACCCCAGTCTCCAAGTTCTCCAGCTGCACTAGAACTTTCTGGTAGTCCCGCAGGGCCTGCTTGCTCTTGTGCCTGCACGCAGAGGCCAGGTGTCAGCCACGGGCCCAGAGCAGCCTGATTGGCTGGGCTGGGGGAGCTCCTGTCAGTCACAAAGAAGGAAATCTGTCCAAGCACCCCACCCCGAGCTGGAACAGCGCTCACCTGTACATGAGGGTCAGGAGCAGCACGGCGGTGGTGAGCACGGCAGCACCCATGCCCAGGCCCACCTGTGCCTCCACGGGGAAGGCGGACATCACGGGCTCCGCCTCGTACTGAACAGGGCCCAGGGCCAGGCGGACATTGCCCATCTGCACCTGGATGGGAAGGGCTCCTGAGCTCCAGCCCGCCGTGCTTGGCGTAGCTCTGGTGTGTGTGTGGGGGGGTGGGTAGGGTACACTCACCACGAACTGCGGCAGGGCGCTGGAGCTGTTGGTGGGTTGCGGGGCACGTGGGGGTGGCTCGCAGTACAGGTGGGTGAGCGTGAGCGTCTTCACCAGGCACTCGCCATCACCGATGTGCACCCTCACCTCCTCCTTGCTGATGCCCAGGTTGAGGCCCTCCCCCTGAGGTATATACCAGGAGCCTGAGTCTGGTGACCCCCCCTCCAATGAGCTGCCAGTCCCCTGGTAGGCCTAGTGGCAGTGAGCTTACCTCTACATCCAAGACGTGGCCTGGCTTGAGGCGGTAGGGGCGGGCAAGCCCCTCGCGACTCAGAGGTGCCAGACGGGGATTGGGCTGGTACAGGAAAGCCTGGCCCCCACTGGCACTGGCGAAGTCCACATGCACATTGTCTAGGGCAAAGAAGACCCGCTTCGGGTATGCCCCGTCTGGCACTGCAGGGCTGCGGCACAGGAGGAGGCTGGACGAGTTGACCCAACAGACTGTGGAGCACTGGGGGGGGACACAGGGTGGGGTGGCCCTGCAGTTACCCTGGCGCTCCTCTGCACCCCCTGATGACTTGATAGCTGGGCCCGCCTCCCTCACAGGCAGTGTCCCGGGCTCAGCCCTACCACCTGCTGGGGTGGGGACACCTACTTGCAACAAGCCCCCCTCAAGCTGAATACAGGCATGAGGGTCTGCAGCAGGGGCACCGCAGCTCCTCCTTGAGTTCAGTTCCTGGGGCTGGGCCTCCAAAGTCTTGTCCTCCATCCCAGCTTCCAGCCACACAGATAACAAGGGGCGCCACACCACATCCAGGCCTGTACCCCTGACGCGGATCAGCCGCCCACCCCTATGCCGGATGGAAGTCAGAGAGGTACAAGGGTACAGGGCAGCCTGGTCCAGCCCCAACTCACCTATTGTTTGTTTGTTTATATTTGTGCCTATCCTGGGGCTTGAACTCAGGGCCTGGGCACTATCCCTGAGCTGCTTTTGCTCAAGGCTAGCACTCTACCACTTGAGCCAGAGCTCCAATTCTGGCCTTTTGGTAGTTTATTGCAGACAAGAATCACAAACTTTCCTGCCCAGGCTGGCTTCAAACCATGATCATTAGATCTTAGCCTCCTCAGTAGCTAGGATTAGAGTGTGAGCCACTGGTGCCCAGCTCCCATTTTCCCTCTGACTCAGCGTACAGACTGCCTGTGGGCTGGCCAGGCTGCTCACCCGCGGAAGCTGACACTGGGTTCCGCTGCCACAAGCTGAGGGTTGGCCATGTAGCGAAAAGGACTGGTGAGCAGCTTGCGTTCAGCATGGCCAAAAACCACAAGGACCACAGCTTCTCCTGGCATGGCCTGGGGCAGGGTGCGGCACACAATGGCCTCTGGACATACAGGTTCCAGGCTGCAGAGTAAAGGAGGTTTCTCACCTTAGGCTCTCATTACTGCTTTCCAACCTAGCCCTGGCCCGGTCACCTATGAAAGCCCCACTTGCCTTTTTCAACAAGGACAGAGATTGCTGGAGGTGGGCATAGCACCACTTCTCTTGCAATTTGATGACTCTGTCTGTCTGTCTGTCTGTCTATTCATCTGTTGTGCCAATAGTGGGGCTTGAACCCGGGGCCTAGGCACTCTCCCTTAGCCTTTTCATTTGCGGACGGTGCTCTACCATTTGAGCCACAGCTCCACTTCTACCTTTTGGTAGCATCTAACCATGATCCTGTGATCTCAGCCTCTTCCGGAGTAGCTAGGTAGATGGAATTCTTGGATCCACTGTCCCCACTGCAGCGGAAGTGACACTAAAGCCTGCTGGAAGTGCCTCTACTTGACAGCAGCCAGGCTTGCTGGAGGCCGTCAGCCCCTGTGCGTTAGTGGGCAGCAGGGCTGGATACTCACATGGGGCAGGGTTGGCCACCCACAAAGGTGCTGATATTGCCTCCTGTCTGGAGGTGCTGCCCGTGGATAGTGAGCTGGGTACCCCCTGCCTGGGGGCCCCAGCGAGGACTCAGGCTCAGCAGGATGGGGTCCTGGAGAACAGGGCAGACTGAGGTTAGGATGATGGCCTGGCCTTATGCTACCTATTCCCAAGGCCCTAGAGCTGTAAGGCACAAGCCTGCCTCTTAGGGTTTCTCAACGGTCAGGGCCTCCTTCCAGAAGCACTGTGCCCTCCTTCTGCAACCCCACACTAGCCAGCTTCTCCCCTGTCTGCTACTGCCATACAAGGAGGGCTCTTGGGTCGCTACCAGTTTCTCTCCCATGGGATGGCTTGTACACTCAAAAGACCTGGGCTCTAAACACTGAGATCCACTTGCCCATGGGGGTACTGCCGCTGACAAACAGAACTCCTGGTCCTAACCTAACCCTTCCTGCTTCCTCTCCTATCCTGGGCTTCCCACTCCAACAAGGGCATACTATGCACCCAGGGCATAGACTGTCACGCGGGGGCACTCCCCCGTTCCCCCCCACCCCGTCCCTGCTCCTTCAGCCAACTATGCCTTCAACAAGTCCTGACAACGCTGAGCCCAGACTGGCCTGGCTGCCTGCTGTGCTTGCTGCCTGCTGCCATCCACCTCCCTCTTGGACAGCTGCCAGCGGCAGTGTCCTTGCCAGCCTGCCACTTGCCCTAGCTGCTCTTCACCGACATCATGTGGTCTCCCACTTCCATGTTACGGCCTTGGAGCCAGTTTGATATCCTCACTAGGTAACCCCACCACCCTGCTTCCCACCATCCAAATGCCCACCTTCCCTCCCACCATCGTCTACGTCAGGACTACTCCAGGGAACGCACTGACCTGATAGGTGAAGTGCTGGGTGGAGACGCCAGGGGACCGACTCTTAATGGCCACTTGGACTGGCCCAGAGGTGCCATTGGGAGCAGGAGATGTCACACACACAATCCTGTGAAGCCAAGGCCCGGTAGCTGCTCAGGGCCTTGGAGAGGCTGGGCAGCCTGCCAGCTGCTGCCTGGAGCCTGCTCCTCTCCCTCCCATGCTTGTTTTCCTTTTGTGCTCTGACCCAGGGCCCCACATGTCTCGGCTACAAGCTTCCTTTCTCTCTGGGTGGCCAGTTTCTTCCTTTCTTTGTTTTTGGTGTCAGTTCTGGGCTTGAACTCAGGGCCTGGACACTTTTTTGCTCAAGGCTAGCACTCTACCACTTGAGCCACAGCTCCACTTCCAGCTTTAAAAAAAAAAATTAATGGTGCTGGGCACCAGTGGCTCATGCCTGTCATCCTAGCTACTCAGGAGGCTGAGATCTGAGGATCGCAGTTCAAAGCCAGCCTGTGTAGAAAGTCCGGGAAACTCTTATCTCCAATGAACCACCAAGGGGACTGGAAGTGGCGCTGTGGCTCAAGTGTTAGAGGGCTAGCCTTGAGCTGAAGAGCTGAAGGACAGCACCCAGGCCCAGAGTTCAAGCCCCATGATCACCACTACCACGGCGACCACCAAAAAAGGTCTTATGGACTTTCCTGCCCAGGCTGGTTTCTAACCGTGATTCTCAGATCTCAGTCTTCTGAGTAGCTAGGATGATAGGCCCGCACCACCGGTGCCCGGCTTGGGCTGGCCAGTTTCGGAGGGTCTACTTGGAGCAGCAGCCCCACCCACCCACTCCCGCCCAGGTGCCTCACCGGGTGGAGGTGCGGTAGAGAAAGGGGTCCGGACTGCAGGGCTGGCCAGCCACACTCACAGCATCCTGCACATCGGTAAAATCCCGGCCCAGGTTGGAGCCCAGGATAGTGAGGGCCAAGCCACCCTCTGGGGGGCCGGTCAGGGGCTCAATCTACAGCAGGGAAGGATGGCAGATGGGTTTCCCTAAATCCGCACGTCACTCGACAGCAAGAGTGCACAGCCAGTCAGACTATGGCTGAAGCAAGCTGCTAAGGGCTGGGGAGGGGGAGAGGAGGGAGGCAGGGGCAAGTGATGAGCAGTGGGGGACTAGGGAAGGAGGAGGCTAGAGCACAGGGTAGTGGCTGGGAAGTGAGCACCCCCCCCACCCCCGCCCCGCCTCGCCTCCAGTCTCCTGTCTTCAGCCTTGCAGGCAGGGAGCTCACCGCATCAATGCTGGGTGTGGGACACACGTGCTCCACAGACCCTGGTGGGCAGAGCGGGCCATAGCGACAGGCAGGCTGGCCATTGCTACACCACAGGCAGCCCAGGCTCCTATTGGCTGCCTGGCAGTGGCTGCAGTCAGGGTGGCCCACGGTGCAGTCGTACAGGGTCACTAGGAGAGAGAAGCAGCAGGCTGAGACACCACCCTCACGCTGTCTTCCCTGCCTCTGCCACCCTCACTGCTCACAGCCACAGTCACATCCTCAAACATCAGAGCCAGGGGCAAAGTGACATGGTCTGGCAGGGGCTCACCATGAATCGCTTGAGCATTGTCCAGACGTTGGACCTCACCCCAAGTGACGTAGACAGGCACTGGGAGCTCCCGCCGGGACAGAGACAAGTGGAACTGTGGGAAGAGGGCAGGATGAGGCTCTGGGCATCTGCGCCTCCCACCTCGTCTGGGACACCCCGCCCCTGGAATGAGTTTGATTGGCACCTACATCTCCCAGCCGACTGGGAGCTCAGGGTGCCATGTTCCTGACACACACCCATGGCTTGGGAAGAACAGGATGAAGAGGGACTGAGAAAAGTGGGGACCCGGAGGGCTGGTGAAAGCATCCAGTGGTAGGGAAGCTGATAGGGCAGCCCCTGCCCCCACACCTGCTGGGCCTGGCAGTGAATGAGGCCTGCGTCTCCAGCTGTGTTCTCTAGGGAGGCTGGTACCCGCTTCAGTTCTTGGGGCAGCTCCAGCCAGCAGTTGTAGGCAGGCAGGCCCTGGGGGGAGAGGCGCAAGGTCAGTCCCCTGGACGCTGTCCCCTCTGTCCATTTTGGAGCCCCTGCCTTCCTGCTACTCACTCGGAAATAGTGGAGATTCCGAACACGCAGGGCCAAATGGCTCTCCCAGCCCACGGGCACCAAGTGGGGACCTGCTAGGCCTTCAATCTGGGGACAAGCCCCTGGGCCACGCACCTGGATGTCCACCTGGGGAAACGAGAGCCTTTAGCCCTTCGAAAAACCAAGGGCCTGCTCCTCTAGCCTACAAGGGTGGCCATGAGAGGCCGAGGGGGTGAAGGGAGACCTGCAGGTTGGCACACCCACCTCCTGGGCACTGTACACTGTCCTCTCGCCCTCGGGGCAGTGCTCTCCATGTGTGCAGTGGTTGCTCTGAGGGCACCAATGGCACCGCCAGAAGCTGCCCACACAGGTGCGGCACCTGCAGGGGCAGGAATCCGCTCAGTCTGGGAGCTGTGTGAGGTTGCCACCCCTACCCGCCAGGAACCAGGGCCAGAAACTCACGGGGCGGCCACCTCCAAGGCCTGGACAGCGCTGCAGTCATAGAAGGAGAAGTTGGTGGCAGCCACAGTCACATCCTCAAACATCAGAGCCAGGGGCAAAGTGACATGGTCTGGTAGGGGACAGTGGTAGCAGAGGTCAAGTGGCTCCTGCCCACATCAGTTCCAGCCTTGGACGACAACCTGGAACACCCCCTCACCTCTGCCTGGAGGGTTAAGAGGCACTTGGTCTTGTGGAGGGGTGACACAGGTCACGCGGGGCCCTTCTACATGAGCCAGACTGTCATGGTCCCCAAAGGCGCAATGGAAGTATTCATCCGCAGCCAGGTTGGGCAGCCGGGGGACAAACAAGATCACCTGGGATGCAGGAGAGGGAAACAGAGCAGAGCAGAGTGGTGTGGCGTGAAGGGAAGAGCTATGCTGGAACGGGAGCAGAGGCCTTGAGGGAAGAGTTGGACGAGAGGCAGTGAGAGGGTCATCCCTCCTCCCCCAGGCAGGAGCTGTGCTGCCTGGTCAGGTGTCTACCTGGCCCTGCTCCTGGCGGGCATGGTGGGCTGGCAGCAGGTTCTGGATGTGGAGACAGCGACTGTCCTCATAGCTCCATAACCACTGGTTGGGCTGGGCTGCCCGTCTGCACTGGCCTTTCCGGGTACAACTGCCAGACAGGGGTCCACTGAATCATTGTGTGTGGGTCCCAGGCTTCTTGGATGACTGGTAGCAGGGGGATGAGGGGAGATCCCGCAAGGCATAGACTTTGACCTTGATGGTGAATGAGAGGGGGCGGCCTTGGCCTGGGCCGCTGCACAGAGCCTGGCTGGAGGGGAGTTGAAATGGGCAAAGGGACACTGGCAGTTGGATAAGGGTCTTGGAGAAGTGACAGGCTTGCACCTGCGGCAGGGCTCTGGAAATGAGACATGAACAGGCTGGGCAAGCAGGCAGTGAGTGCTGCCCAGATTCATGGCGTAAGTAGGCTGGAGCAGGATGGAGGAAGTCAGAGACGCCCCGAGTCTACTAAGCAATCACGGCTGGCCTTGCGGCCCGCACACCTGTTAGTCCAAGCCAGGGCTTGGGCTCCACACTCACCTGCCCTGGAGGATGCACCAGCCACACAACGGGTCCCGGGCAAGAAGGCAGCTAGCACAGTCCAGGAACTGAGGGCAGGCTGCCACCGGCACCCGGTCCACCTGTCCGGGCAGCAAGGGAGAGATAAGATAGTTATAGAGACTCAGCCCTTGTAGAGCCCCCCCTCCACCATGCCTGCGACAGCTCTCACCTGCTGAGCAGTCAGGACATACAGGTGGCCACCACTACTGTCCAACAGTAGGTCTGGGCTGATGGCTGAGCCCGGAGGCCCCACTTGTTGAGAGTGATACACCTGGCCTTGAGAGCTGTTGAGAAAGACCTGGGCGGGGGCACAAGGACAGGGCTTCGGCCATTCTGCCAAGCCAAGGCCAGCTCTCCAGAGGGCTAGAAGCTGAGCATGCAGGGGTCATGCTTGCCTCCTAGTGGGGGCTCTTGAACAGGAATGTTAGGAGTCTCAGGAAGTAACTTTCCCTCCCCCCTGGCCACTCCCTTTCTTGCTAGGCCATCCATGAGGGTTGTGTCACTTTCCCCATCTGTGCCCTCTGGGCTATAGGCACTCTCCAGGAAGCCACACTGCTGGAACAGCAGGGATACCCTCAGGAAGGTCCTTGGATGACAGGGCCACTCTGTCATGCAGGAGGGCGGCTCCAGAGAGATAAGCAAGTTACTAGGAGGTAAGTTTGTCCAGGACAGATTTCTGGGGCCAGGCCTCTCTGGTACTCATGCCTATCCACCTTGACCATTACTTCCCATTAGTCAGAGAAGGCAATCGCAGGATGAGGCCCTACAAGCAGTTCAGGTGTCACCCAATGTCACCTGTCACAATGTCACCCACCAGCAGGATGCAGACCGAGAGGGACTGGGTCCTGGGGAACTTCCCTGAGCCATTGGCGACAGAAGCATCTGGACTGGCAGCAAGGCTGGACCCAGCCTGGCAGTGTAGTGACCACCTAAGGTTCCTCTTCTCCACTGGGCAGGTTCTTACCTTGTGTAGCTGGCCCTGGGTGTCCCCTAGGAAGGCTATTGTGTGCCCATCTGCGTGGAGCGCTGCTACGGCACTGATGGGCTGCTCCAATTGGAGCAGAGGCTGGGCCTCCAGGGGCTGGCGGCCAGAAATCGGGCTGGGGGTATGTTCATCACCACAGGGATATGACTTCGGGGAGTCCTAGACAGCAAGGAGTGGTGAATGAGCTCCCAGGAGAGATAGGTCACTCTCCTAGTCCCACGACAGGTGGCAGAGGCCACCCAAGCAGCCAAGCGAGAAGGGTGCCGGGAAGGACCTAGAAGCAGAGCACTATGAGCGAGGGGCCAGAAGACTGGGTCCCAGAGGCCTGCAGCATGCCAAGCTGACCTCATGGGACAAAGATGGAATGAGGCCGAGGCAGGAGACTTAGGGACAGAGTTGGCTCCCCGTTGACATTCTTTAGCCAAAAGCATACCCCTGCCCCACGCCACAGTAGGAGAGGGCTAGAGGGACGGGCCAGCAAGACAAGAAAGGGGAGGCAGGAGCCTGGCTGGGAATTTGGGAGTCAGCCCTTCGCTACTCACAGGGGGCAGGGTGACACAGCGTGATGTGACACCATACTCCACGGTGGCTTCCTCTACGCCGCTGGGGCTCCGGCCGCCACTCGTGTAGCACAGTCGCCGTGCCTCCTCTATGCTCCTATCCAGCGCGGCCAGGGGAAACGCACACAGAGCCCCAGAGGTCCCCTTCGGGCCTGCAGCAAATGCCCCTAACAGGGTGCCAGGGGCAAGGAAGGCAGCCTGGATGAGGCCTTGGCCCTGGCAGGCAAAGGGCACTTCCACGTAGGAGTAAAGGTTGGCGTCTCCCAGGCAGACACGGGCCACATAGGAGCGGTACTCAGCCTGGGCCCGGGCCCCTCGGCGGCGGAAAACGAAGTAGGCAGAGTGGGCATCAGCAAAAGCCCCTACATAGCTGTTGTTGTAGTCTGAGAAGTCGCCCACCACCAGGCGGCCCAAGCCCTCACTGGAGAAGGCCTGTGGCCCAGCCAGCTGGCGTACAGTTAGCGGTGGCACCCCCGCCGACAACTTCCCAGCTAGGCCTCTGGCCACCAGCAAGAGGTCTTGGCCTGGCAAGGGCACCACCAGCCCCACGGTGGCCACTCCTGGGGTGTTGGCAGCCACAAACTGCCCATCACCAGGGTCTTCGGCCTGGTACAGTACCTCAGTCACATTCTCAAGGCGCCGCTTCTCGCATACACCTTGCCTTACCTGCCCACAAGCCACCAGCTCCTGGGCCCTGCTGCTCACCAGCAAGAGCTGGTTGGCATTATCAGTGAGCCGGGCCTGTGGGCACTCGGCTGGGTCACGGAAAGGCAGGCAGTCAGGACTGTCGATGACAGGGCCGGTGATGGCCACAGCCTCCATCTGCAGCTCAGGGCTGAGCTGGAAGAGGCGGTTCACGGCCCCCACGTACAGTGTGCCCCGCTCCGGTGCCAGCGCCAAGTGGTTCAACGTGGTGTTGGGTGCAGAGAAGCGATGGGCTCCACACAGGGACGGTAGCAGCAACAGCAGGAGATGGAGGCAGCAGGGAGGCCAGCGCGCCATCACAGGGGGTCTGTGGGGGAGCCCGCAGCGTGAGGCCAGGGCCACACCCCCCACCGGCACAAGCAGGGCAGAAGGGGCCAAGGCAGAGAGACTGCGAACTGAACCAGGGCAGAGATGGATCCCAAGGAAAGCAGTGTGGAGACCCAAGAAGAGAGGTTCATAGTCAGGGAGGGAGCAGGGGGAGGAAGGCTAAAAGAAGGAACTAGAAAAAGACAGAGAGAGCACAGATAGAAGCAGCCAGAGAGAAAAGGACAGAAAAAAAAGGACAAAGGAAGTGTCCATGAGTTAGAGAAAGAGACGGGTGGGGACGAGGGTACGCATGTGCCCGGGCACATGAGCACACACAACGACAGAATTATTTCATCTTCTACTTCATATGCATGTGGCTGAGAGGGGAGATTCTGAAATGTCACAAGAGTACGACCAGCGACCAGCGTGACTCTGAATGACAGGGTGGCCAGCTAAGGGGAGGGAGATGGGAGTAGCAAGGTGAATGGAAGCCACAGCCACAGAATGGCCCTGTACTCAGCCACTCAGACAAGAGAGGGGACAAGAGGAGCAAGGCTCTTTGGTGGCCAGGCAGGGGACCCATATATAGCGAAAGGGACAGGGAGAGAAAACTCATGGTCTCAGCTGCACAGAGAGACCCCCATCAACTTTGAGAGAAGCAAGGGAGGACTTCGCCTCTAGCTAAAATATAACCAGGGATGGCCTCACATATGTCCCACAAGACAGCAATAAACAGGTGGCCAGGGCATGCCACAGACAGCCGTTGACTGGGGGTGGCCAGCGCAGGGGCAAAGGGAGAGCTGGGAGCCAGCTAGAGGATGCCACACTACTAGGAGGCAAAGCAGGATGCAAGGGGGTGCGGACTGCCGCCCCCCAGCCCCATGGACCCCAGCAGTCAGGGTCTGTCATGGCCTGGCATTAGAAGGGCCTTGGTGTGGGAGTATTGATGTAGAAAGTTTGAGAAGGACAGCCTGACTGAAGGGGAGACTGAACTGGGGTAGTCCCAGGGCGTGACTAGAGGGGACACTGAGTCTGAATTTAGAGGGCAAGGGTGGGGTCCCACACCCTCCGCTGAGGGGCACTAAGTGCAGCTCCTGCCATGCCTCTCCTCCAACTGTGGGCAGAAATCCCTGCCATAAGCAGATCTGCTCTGGCTGGCCGCTTCAGTGACAGACAGAAGAGACCCTAGGCAGGGCCCTGGGAAGGGAGCAGGAATTAGTGGCTGTCTCTAAATTGAGCTGGAGTCTACACAGCTGAGTGTGTGGGCATGTGTCAGCTGGAGTTCTCCACGCCACTCAGGAAGGCCACAGAGTCCCTTATCTCAGGAACACAGGCAGCAAGGGCACGGGCCGGCATTTCCCCTGACCCTGACTATATCGGGGCAGTGTGTGGTGTGTGTGGCTGGAGAGATGAGGCTGCCATCTGGGGAGGTACAGGACATTGCCCCCCCCCCCCCCACGCCAAGGCTGCCCAGTGTCCCAGGCCCTGTCCTGGGGCTATTTCCCCCCACCCTGCCCTTCCCAGAGACATAGTTGGGAATGCAAGGCCCAGGCACTTACCTCCACTAAGGAGTTACAGCGGTCGTGTCTCCTGGGCAGTGTGGTCCGTCTCCTCAGATCAGCTGCCCCAGGGCAGTGGTGACCGGCACAAGATGGCTGTGGGGGGCATTGTCCTGAGTGGGAGGGAGATAGTGGAGGTTTGCCCCATTCATGCTGGCCCCGGGGGAGGAAGGGGAGGTGGGGGATGGGGGGCAAGGGCCTGGCGACCGGGCTCCACCACAGCTGGCAGCTTTGTCAATAGTGTCCCGGCCAAGGCAGCCCTGCCTCCACCCCAACAATGTCCCCTCTGTCCGGAGGCCCAGGCCACGGACCCACTATCTGGTGCTCTTACCCCCACTTGGGCGGGCTGTTCTGGCCAGGGGGCTCCGTGATGCTCCCCACCTCCAGGGAGACACCCCCCTGGGATCTGAAGACAAAGGGGCCAGGGTTTCCTTCCTATCCGGTCCACAGCTCTGGTGCCAGCCCCGAGTGCCCCTCCCTGAGTTACCCCGGGTCCCCATGAAGGGCACGGGGTGGACCTCAGAGCCTCCACTGTAGAGCCAGGGGCACTGCGCCCCTGCATACCATCCTCGGCCTCAGTAGCCTTGGTGCCTGGCTCAAGTGCCAGTCCTGGCCCTCAATGCCTGCCTTTGTCCAGGCTGGGGCAGAGGAGGCAGCGACAAAGGCAGCCCCATGCAGGGGATTACCCCCCCCCCCCCCCCCGGCCTGGAAGAGGACTGTCTCCATCCAGCCCTGCCCCCTGGAGACTGGCAAAACTTGTGCCAGGTACCGCATGGTAGTGGGGAAAGCTGCTGGAGGGTATTGCATGGTAAAAGGGGAGAAGCTGAGCCCAAGAAGGGGCCCAGACACCAGAATGAAACCCCAGCTTCAGACATGCACTGGTGCTGGCTGTCCGCTTCCCCCCCCCCCCAGGAAAAGCCCCTCCTAGGATGGACAGAGATGCCCTCCGTGCAGGAGACAGAGAGGGGAGTGGGAGCCTGGCTTACTGCCACCCTTACAGAGTACCTTGGGGCCGCTGGTCTCCAGACTCATGGTTGGGGTCCCTGCCTCCTCCATAGTTTGGTAGCAGCCAGAGCTGGGCAGAAGGTGACTGTGCCACCTGGCCCAGCCGGTTAGGTGGCTGTGGGGGAGGGGAGGCAGGCAGGACGTCTTCCCATCCTGTAGCTGCTCCTGGCTAGTGCCAGCTCTCCTATTTGGGGGGTGGGGCAGGAGGGGGGGAAACGACAGAATCACTATTCTTTATCTGCTAGTTCCAGTGCCACTCCACTTGGGGATAGTATGGCCCTGGGCTTCCGAAGGGGTTGGGCTGGTGCCTCATGGCTTCTGCCAGGCTGCAGCTAGTGGAAGCTACGTATACCCAGGTTCTGGCTTCTCCCCCAGACCAGTGATTCCCATACCCGTTGCCCAAACCAGCCCTGGCTCTCGCCTACCTGAGTGGGCCCCTTGCAGGCCTTAGGAGTACCTGGAGGTTTGGAGTGTGTCTCGCTGGAGCCCCAGCCTCCCTCCCCACAATGCAATTGCCCCAGCCCAACGCATCCCAGACTGGCCCAGGAGCCCAGCCCCTTGTGGCCCGCCCCTTTTCCCAGGGCGCAGGGCAGGACGCTGCTGCCCTTTGCTGGTCTTGGTGAGTGCTGCAGAGGGTTGGGTTACAGGCACCTGGCTGCGGCAAGTGAGAACAGGCAGTACCTTTCTATCAGTTGGGCGTGTAGGCATTCCTTAACTTTCCACAGCATGCTTGCTTGCTCATACCCTTCGGTGGATATTACCCGGATACAGTTCTTGTGATGCAGGGCAAGGTGTGGGTTTTTTCTCCCCAGGTCACAGGTGGCAAACTGGGTAGGGAAGGAAGGCATGGGAAGTTGAGAAACTTGCACAGAGTTTTGCAGCTAGTAAAGGACAAGGCTTAGAATCAACCGCAGAATCCCTGCACTTATACATCTGGCCATACAGCCTCGACCTGTAAAGGTGTCAGGTCTGGGGCAGGAGGGGACATAAGAGACACGCTCACACTGTGCTTAGGAAACTCTGGGAATCTCCCTCATGACCAGAGCATGAAGCTGTCTGTAGAGAGTGGGTTGTAACCTGCAGTGGGCTGGGCACCAGTGGTTCATGCCTGTAATCCTAGCTACTGAGGAGGCTGACATCTGAGGATCATAGTTTGAAGTCAGCCCTGGCAGGAAAGTCCCTGAAACTGTCATTGTCAACCACCAAAACAAAACAAACAAAAAAAAGCTGAAAGTGGAGCTGTGGCTCAATTGGTAGGGTGATAGCCTTAAGCAGAAAAAAAAAAAAAAAAGGTCAGGGTTAGTGGCCAGGCCACACACATGAACATATACAGAATGTACAGGCCCTGGGGGGAAGAAAGGAGAAGGTAGTGAGCCAGGGCCAAAGCCAGTGGTGGCTGTGGAGGGAGGTGGGTGAGGAAATGGCAGATAGTAGGATCCTGAAAGACCTCATGTTGGATGTAGGAGGTGGAGTAGGCAAAGGCAGGAGAATGTAGGAGCCCAACCTTAAGCCTTTTCTGCTAAGGCCCTGTTTTCTATAGGCAGGGTCCACAGTGGAAGGGAAGGGAGGGATGGTGAAGAGAGTAAGACCGAGGAACCAAGAGGCAGGAGGCAGTGGTCGACAGGGCCTTTGGAGTCTTGGGATGACAACTTCCTGGGTGCCTGGATTTGTAGATGTTGACCAGAGACTCACAGGGTGAGAGACATGGATCTAGGCACTGGTGGCTTATACTTGTAAGCCTAAGAGGCTGAGATCTGAGGGTTGAGGTTCAAAGCCAGGCTGGGCAGGCAAATCTGTGAGACTGTCATCTCTAATTAACCAGCAAAAAGCCAGAAATAGAGGTATAGCTCAGGAGGCAGCATGCCAGCATTGAGTGACAAAGCCAAGGGAGAGGGCAAGTTCGATACTGGTATGTGAGTATGTATGTGTGCACACACACAGACACCCATACAAGAGACATGGGCTTCATATAGGTGAGGCCTGGAGAAAGCAGTCATAGTCCATGCTTGTGTCGCTCAAAGTACCCCTCTCCCTACTGCCACTGGGGAGCCAGGATGTCTAGGTACTTTTTGCCAATATCCTATTTTCAACTTTGTGTCCTCTATCAGCTAGGCTTTCAACTGAATTTTTATTTGGGCAATTGAGCTCTTCATTTCTGGATTTCAATTTGATTTTTTCAAGAGTTCCATCTTTTTTGAACTCCTTTCCACATCTTGCATTGAATTTCTTTTCTGTGTGCCAGTACCCGGGCTTGAACTCAGGGCCTCATGCTCTTTCTTGGCTTTTTTTTTGCTCATGGCTAGAGCTCTTCTACTTCAGCCACACCATCTCTTCCAGCTTTTTGCTAGTTAATTCTTGATAAGAGTCTTGACTTTGTGTGTTCGGCCGGTGTAGACCATGATCCTCAGATTTCAGCCTCTTGAATAGTTTAGAATTGTAGGCTTAAGCCACCACAGCCTGACCTGATAAAGAATTAGTAGAAAGTTAGATTTTTTGTTCGGCATGTTTATCTTCCTAAACGGAGGTGGAGATTTTAGCTGGATTAAAGAAGGCAATATTTCAGCTGGCTTTCTGAGGCCTGAGTTAAGTTCTGCCTTGAGGCAGAATGTCACAGTGCAGTGCCCTTCTCTTGTCAATAGGGGTCAGAATTCTTACAGAAAGCAGAAGTAGAAAAGGGCTTGTAAGCTTATGAGTCCATACGTGCTCAAGGTGAGGGCAGGAAATTGGTTTAGTGTGACTGTGAGTACTAAGCCCCTCTGGCCAGTCTCTGTGTACCTTGGAGGGAATGTGTGTCAGATGTAATGTGTTCTTACAGATAATACCATCAGAGTAGTGAAATTCTGCACAATCTCAGTGCTCTCTCCCAGACTGGCTGCAAGTCTGGCTGCAGACTTCGGCAACTCTAACCATAGGATGCTGATGGTTTATTGCCCCACTGAAGATGGTCAGTCTGTAATGTTCTACAACCTCCCTAAATACTGGCATTCTTAGTTGCCCAGCACTTACAGTGCCAGGCACTGCTTAGATCTGGGGAACTCACTGAAGAATAAGAGGGACTTTGGGACTGAGTCGGTAAAACATAAGAAGGTGGGATAAGCCGGGCACCAGTAGCTCACGCCTGTAATCTTAGCTACTCAGGAGGCTGAGATCTGAGGATCGAGGTTCAAAGCCAGCCCGGGCAGGAAAGTCCATGAGACTCTTATCTCCAATAAACCACCAGAAAACTGGAAGTGGCGCTGTGGCTCAAGTAGTAGAGCACTGGCCTTGAGCTGAAGAGCTGAGGGACAGCGCCCAGGCCCAGAGTTCAAGCCCCACGACTGACAAAAAAAAAAAAAGTGGGATAATGAGACAGAGACATTGGATGATCCTGAGTTTTGCCGGGAACACCAGAAGGGATGCCAAAAAATATGTCGGGTTGGAGCAGGGTGTGGTTGGCTCATGCTTATGATCCTAGCTACTCAAGAGAGGATTTGAGGATCTCAGTTTGAAGCTAGCCCAGGCAGAAATGTCTGAGAGAGTCATCTTTAATCAACTACCAAAAAAGGCAGAAGTGGAACTGTGGCTCAAGTGATAGAGTGCCAGCCTTGAGTGAAAAAGCTAAGCAATAGTGCAAGGAAGGCAAGGAGTTCAAGTTCCCAGTTCCAGAGTGCGCATGCACATGCGCACGCGCACACACACACACACACACACACACACACACACACACACACACACACACACAGAGCTGGATTGGAAAGAGATGGTAATAAGTCTAGTTTGGGGTATATGGGGCATGCATAGCTGGGGACTTTTCAGGTAAAAGCCATCAGTTCCATACAACCATACTTTCAAAATGGAAATGCAGGGGCTGGGAAGATGACTCAAGTGGTTAGAGCGCTAGCCTTGAGCTGAAGAGCTGAAGGACAGCACCCAGGACCAGAGTTCAGGCCCCGCAAACGGACCCCCCTCCCAAAAAAAAACCCAAAATCAAAATGGAAATACAAAGAAGTCATTGAACTTGTTTTGTTTTTTTTTTTTTTGTCAATCATGGGGCTTGAACTCTGGGCCTGGGCACTGTCCCTCAGCTTTTCAACTCAAGGCTAGTGCCCTACCACTTGAGCCACAGCGCCACTTCTTGGTTTTCTGGTGCCTTATTAGAGATAAGACTTGTCTAACAGACTTTCTTGCCCAGGCTGGCTTTGAACTGCAATCCTAAGATCTCAGACTCCTGAGTAGTTAGGATTACAGGCGTGAGCCACCAGAGCCTGGCTTTCTCCCAGGCATTTTTTTTTCCCGTCTTGGGACCTGAACTCTGGGCCTGGGCGCTGTCCCTCAGCTCTTCAGCTCAAGGCTAGCGCCTACCACTTGAGCCACAGCGCCACTTCCGGCTTTTTCTGCTTATGTGGTGCTGAGAAATCGAACCCAGGGCCTCATGCATATAAGGCAAGCACTCTACCACTAAGCTACCTTCCCAACCCTCTCCCAGGCTTTCTACACCAGAAATTTACCCCCACCTGCTTCTTTGCTGGCTCCTGACCCATGAAGAGTTCCAGCAGAGAGCTCTGGGCTATGCTTCCACTTCATCACCTGCTCACTGTCCCCATGCGTGCACTGTATCTTCTCCTGGCTCTGCCTCTCCCTCATAAGGGCATTGTCACTCACTACTCTGTAGCCAAAACCCAGGACCTGTCACACCTCTTCCAGGGTTTCAAGCATTAGGTGGTGGTCAGGGTCCTACTCTCACCTAGCCTCTTGTTTATCCATCTATCTCTCCCATCTATTTACCTGTCAATCATGGAACCTATAGCAGTGTATTGTCTATGAATCTATCATTTATTTACCTATCATCTATGTATCTATTTATCCATCCATAATCCTCTATCACTTACTTATTAAGGTGAAATTCACATAAGATAAAATGAATCCCTTTTAAAGTGTCCAATTCAGTGGCATTTAGTAAACTCACAGTATTGTGCAACCATGACTTCCAAAGTTCCATGTTTTCATCATCCTCCTCAAAAGCAAACTGTGTACTTATTAGTAAGGCTCTCTCCCCATGTTTTCCCGATGCCTCAGATCCTGGCAAACCAAGGCTCTGCTTTCTGTCACTATGGATTGGCCTATTTGGGGCATTTCATTTAAATCGAATCATATAATGCAGTCTTTTGCATCTGGCTTCTATTCCCTAGACTCAAGTCTCCAAGGTTCATGCACATTGTGGAATGTGTAAGTGCTTCATTGCTTATTTGTGTGTGTGTGTGCTGGTCATGGGGCTTGACCTCAGGGCCTTGAAGCTGTCTCTGAGCTTTTTCGCTCAAGGATAGTATTCTACCACAGAAAAGCTCTACTTCTGGCTTGCAGGTAATTAAAGATAAGAGTGTCACGGGGACTTTTCTGCCCACATTGGCTTCAAACCATGATCCTCGGATCTCAGCCTCCTGACAGGATTACAGGCATGAGCCATCAGTGCCAGGCTTTACTGTTTTTTACAGCTGAATGCTTGTCCACTGAAGATGTGCTGTCTTTTGCTTTTGCAGCCTGGACACTCAGGCGCTTGCTATGCTTCTCTTGGGTACACAGCAAGAGTCGGAGTGCTGGGCAGTGTGGGAACTCTGCTCAGGTTTCCCTAACTGGCCATACTGCCCCTCCTATTCCCAGAAGCTATGTGCTCTGGCCTGCTTCCAGCAAGTCTCCATACACAGTCCTGAGGCCTGCTTTAGGCAGAACTCAGGGGTTTCCATCCTGCTGAGAAGTCTTCAGTGGCATCTGGCTGCCTCCTGGCTAGGTCTAGACTCCTCACTGTGACCTGCAAAGCCTGCCAGACAACCCCTCCTTCCCCAACACAGACCATCAACCCAGGGCCTTTGCACAAGCGGCTCTTTTTCCTAGAAGGTTCAGAGGCACCAACACTGCTGTTTGTTTTTTTTTTTTTCACTGCTGGTTTGTGATTCAGCCTCGGCATCACGTTTTACTGCCACCCCTTCTCTGGCCTGGGATGTCCCCCTTTCCACCCCACCCCACCCCCTTCTTGGCAACTGGCTAGCTTTGCGCAGCACGGCACGCACTGCTGCTCCTGCAGGGAGCTGGCCGGACTCTCCTCCTCCCCAGCATGGGGCTTAGAGTTCATTTTGGGCTCAGCCAGTATTTTCACAAAACATTGTCCGCTAAACCTCCTTGCGGCCATGGGAAATGTAACCCAAGATTGTTTCCATTCTGACTCAGCCAGAGAAGGTGCTGGACCATGTCGTGGGTGGGACGGGCTTGGCGGCGGAGGTGAATTCCCATCCTGAGGGCTTGGGCCCACTCCTCTTTCTCAATCTCCTCAACTTCCACCAGATACCAAGGCAGGAAGTATGTTTTCCACAGGTCTTTACTGAGGGTGCTGGGGACCAAGGGGTCTGAAAAGGGGTGCCTCAGCCCAAAGGCTGAAGGCTTGGGAAAGGCACGCAGTGGCAGTGGGGTCTCCCCCTCTGTGAGGGCTGGCTTGGCAGAGACAGTGCCCCTGTGGCCCCTCTTTGGCACTAAGCTGGGACCGTGGTACCCTCTCTCCCTCCTGACAGGTAGAGGGCTCCCCCCCAGTGGCGGCTGGCAGTGTAGGCTGGCAGGGTGGGGATGCAGTGGAGGGGGCTATGTTTGGCACCAGAGGCTGGGCAGTCCAAGAGACAGTGCCTGGCCACCCCTTGAGCTGGCAGGTAGGTACTTATGTTGGCAATGGAGACAACAACAAATGGAGTCCACTAAGCTAAGCGGTAGTGGGTGAGAACACAGCGGGGAGGGAGCTGGGGACTTGGGGAGGCTGTGTAATCTCCCCTAGGCCTCTCCAGATGACCAGGGCAGAAGAGGACACAGGCCCAGGGCTCTGACTGACCCCAGGACCCATTTCGCTGCTTCCATGGCAGGAAGGGCATCCTATCTTGTGGGGACAAGAGCCTTCGCTAGGGTGGCAACAGACACGTGGATCGTGGGCTTTTCAAGGGATCACGGGAAGTCACGGGGATTTGAGTTTCAGGAGGGCGATGACCCACAATTGCCAGACTCACCACAGGCTCTGGCAGGCTGCGGTAAACGGGGCCAGTGATGGGCCTTGCACCCTTGCTATGGCTCAACCATACTTGATATGGAGTCAGGGCTGGGAAACCCTCATCCCCATTCTTGCTCCCCAGAGAAAAGTAAAGGAGTCACTGCCCTAAACAGGCACACGTATCATGGAGTAAACCCCAGGGTGAGGTTGGAAGCAGGAGAAGGGACACGGGCTTCCTAGGGTCTCCTGGGAGGGGCAGGCCCATGGCTAGGGGGCCTGGGAGGAGGGAGAGGCATGCAGAGGTGGTGAGGGCAGGGTGGCTGCTGCTGTTGCTTCCTTCATGTGATCCGAGAGCCTAGGCAGGGGTGGGGGCTGGGAATCAGGTCCTGGTCAGGTTGGGAGGCCTGAGCCTGGGAGGCTGGCTGTAGAGGGCTTCTCAGGGGCCACAGCCTCGCCCAGAATCTGGCGGAGCTCTTGAAGGCGCCCCTGAATTTTGGGAATGCCAGCCAGCTGCTGCTCCAGCCGTTGCTTCTCCTCGGTGAGGCTCAGGCGGGTGGCCGAGTCTAGCTTCTCAAACTTCCAGCCGCCTTCCCCATCAAACTGTAGCAAGTGTGTGTGGTACTTCCTGGTTGGGAGAGAGGCAGCAAGCTCACTGGCAGCTCCCCACCCTTCCCCAGAAGCAGCCCTTCCAAAGGCACCTACCACAAGGATGGCCGGTGGGTGATGGACAGCAGCGCGATGCCCGCATCCTTGGCTGCCTGGAAGATCTTGCCTTCCACGTCTATGCTCACAGCACTGGTGCACTCATCCAAGAGAGCATACTTGGGCCTTGGAGGTGAGGAGCCAAAGGGAAGAGGCTGTGGACCCTCCATTGCTGATGCTCTATTCTGGTCCAGCCCTGGTCCCAGTCCCTGGATTGCTCCTTGTAGCCTGTGGCCCTACTAGGTTTGTTAGGACCAAGGCTGTTTCTGGTAGCTGTGTTCTTTTTTGCAGGAGGCCCCAGGGAACACCCATTTGTTCTTACTGTTGGTTCGGGACCACCCTGGACAGCCATCCCCAGGGCTCACCTGTGATAGAACATGCGGGCCATGCCAATTCTCTGCTTCTCGCCCCCGGATAGCACGTCCTTCCAGTCACACACGGCCTCCCAACCTGGGCAAGGGGCAAGGGGCTCTGTTCAAATTCAACAAGGGCCCAGTGTGTGGGGGCTGGGGGGGAACTGATGGAAAGATGGGGCAGTCTGACCCCGGGGGGGCTTGTCTAGCTACATATTTCCGCTGCATGTATTCACCTGCCTGTGACACTTAAGTGAAAGAGAATTGTTGGGGCCAGAATTATGAACCCTCAGAAACATTATGTTGGGAGTCTTAGTCGCCCAGTACCTCTGGACGTGGCCTTATGTGGGAATAGGGTCTTTATGAAATGAGCATGAAGGTGAGGTCATGGGGGTAGACTGGTGTCCTTACAAAAAGGGGAGATTTGGACCCAGAGACACAGAGACAAACCCAGGGGAAAGACAGCCACACACACACACACACACACACACACACACACACACACACACACACACACACACACACACACACATCAAGGGAGGGGCCTGCTCAGGAGGGTAATCTGAGCAAGCAGGTGAGTGGGGTGGAGTGACAGGATGGTTGGTGGAAGAGGCGTCTCCATTGCAGTCATCCACTGTGCCTGCCTGTGGAACTAGAAGGTTTCTCTGGGCACAGGGCAGCTGAGCATCAAGACAACACTCTCTAGCTTGCCCACGGTGAAGTGTGTAACCATGTGACTGGCCCATGGCTGATGAGTGTGTGTCATCCACGTGGCATTCTATGCAATCATCCCTGGAAGACAGAGGCAAGCACATTTTGCCTCTTCCTCCTACTTCCTCCACCCTACAGCCTGGGCTGTCTTGGATCATGAGGTGATTTTAGAAATGAATGCTGCACACAGCAGAATGACCTACTAGATAGCCTGGATCCCCAAGCCTGGACCAGGCACAGCCCCTCCCAGCTGTGGCCTACTTCTCTTGGGACTTACCTTACGATAAACCCTCATACATACCCCATTCTACTTACTTTTCTTTTTTTCTTCCCTTTTTTTTTTTTTTGGTCAGAGACCGTGACTTGAACTTGGTACCTGATGCTTTGGCTCATTGGCTAGCACTCTGCTAAATGAGCCATGCTTCTATTCCCCTCCCATTCTACTCCTAAACTCTACCATGAACCCTCTCCAGGATCTAGTCCACTGATGGCTGCTGCAGAGAGTGCTTGGCCTATTCTGCAACGAAGTCAGAGAAATGAGGGCTTTGTTCAAGGTTATTTTTTTGGTGGTAGTGGGGACTGAAATCATGGCCTTACACTTACTAGGAATGTACTGCATACATTGAGCTGTGCCCCTACCCCTCAAGATCATCTGGTACCTAGAGCTGCAAGGGAGGGAAGGAAGTGGAGTTTCAGTGCTTAGATGTCTCAAGAAAATCCAACCTGCCCTCCATTCTGCCTTGCACCGTGCTGCCTTCTCCTACTTCTCTGGATACAATGGACAATGGAGAAAAGCATTAGCCCTCTGTAAGTCTTTTTTTTTCCTTTCTGTTTTGTGCCAGTCCTGGAGCTTAAACTTAGGACCTGAGCACTGTCCCTGAGTTTTTGTGCTGAAAGCTAGCATCCTCCCACTGGAGCCACAGCTCCACTTTAGGATTATTAGTGGTTAACTGGAAATAAGAGTCCCGTGGATCTTCCTGCCCACGCAGCCTTTAAATTGCAATCTTCAAATCTCAGCCTCATTAAGAAGCTAAGATTACAGGCGTGAGCCACCAATGCCCAGCTATTGTGTTTTGTTTTGATTTTTTTGGTCAGTGTCGGGGTTTGAACTCTTTTTTGCTCAAGGCTATTGCTGTACCACTTTAAGCCACAGTGCCACTTCCTATTTTCTGGTGTTCAGTTAGAAATAAGAGTCTCAGGGAGGGCCGGGAAGGTAGCTCAAAGGTAGAGTGCTTGCTTTGCATGCAGGAGGCCCTGGCTTTGACTCCTCAGCACCAAATAAGTAGAAAAAGCCAGAAGTGGTGCTGTGGCTCAAGTGGTAGAGCACTAATCTTGAGCTGAAGAGCTGAGGGACAGTGCCCAGGCCCAGAATTCAGGCCCCACAACCAACCAAAAAAAAAAAAAAGTCTCAGGGACTTTCCTGCCTGGGCTGGCTTTGAACTGCAATCCTCAGAGTAGCTAGGATTACAGGCATGAACCACCAGCACCCAGCTTTTTATTTTTTTTCTTGCTGTTGTTGTTGGTTGTGGGACCTGAGTGCTGTCCCTGAGCTTTTTTTTTTTTTTTTGGTGGGGGGTGGTCTGGTCATGGAGCCTGAACTCTGGGCCTGGGCGCTGTCCCTCAGTTCTTCAGCTCAAGGCTAGCGCTCTACCACTTGAGTCACAGCGCCACTTCCGGCTTTTTCCTTTTTGCTTATGTGGTGCTGAGGAATGGAACCCAGGGCCTCTGGCATGCAAGGCAAGCACTCTACCACTGAGCCACCTTCCCAGCCCCTCCCTGAGCTCTTTTGCTCAAGACTACTTTGCACTCTACTACTTGGAGCCACAGAGCCACTTTCATAAGTCTTCTTTTCTTCTCTCAGCTTTTCTTACAACCTGTTCCTCCCTCCTGAGCTTTTTTCCCAGAGCCCCCCGGCTCTATTTTCCCCATCCCCATTTCAACAGAAACACTGCACAAGCAGCCTTACCCTGCCCAGAGGAGGGCCATCTTATGGGGCTTCTGATCCCTCCCTAGGAAAGCCCAGAGGCTCCTCTGTGGGCTAGCACCTTCCTGTCCCCAAGCGGGCTACACAGACCCTGTCCTGCTGTCTCCTGGCTGGCAGATAGGGTGACCACTTGGTCCGTGTTCCACAGGTCTTGGCTCAGGCTTCTCTCCCATGAGATGAACACCCCTCCCCTTTCCTGGTGCACGGGCACCCCTTGGGGCCACCTGTTTACAGGCAGTCCTCCCTAGAAAGTGTGTCCCCAGGCAGGCACTTTGGACTTCTGGATGCAGAGATAACCTTCCTTCCCCAGGGTTGGGGGAAGAGGTCAGGAATGCAGATGGCAACAGGCTCCCCGTCAGTATTTTGGGACAAAGGGCGAGAATATATGTTCCATGCAGGGATGATAAGCTCTAGCCCCGCCCCTACCTCCTTCTCTCTGTAGTATGTGGTGGAGGTGTACAATGTCCAGGATGGCTTCCAGCTGCTGCTCCGAGTAGCCTTTCCTTCGCATGTCTTCCACTGAATCTGGGTAGATTACCTGGTCACGCAAGGAGCCCACGGACATGTAGGGCCTGTGGAAAAGCTGCATGTCCAACAAGGGCAGAGTGCCTGGGTTTCCCTAAAGGATGTTCTGCCTGAGCCTGCTCTGTGGTATCCGTGGCTGTGGACGATGAGGCCAGACCTGCAGCAAAGCCTTCCAAGTAGTGGCCACCCCATACCCATGTATCCCCAACTTACACATGAATACATGTATGCACACACATCTGTGGGCCTGAGTGTAAGAACTCCCACCCAGATCCTCAATGGATGGAGAATTAGGTTGGGTTCCTGGTTTGTTTGGGTCTGGGGTAGCATCTTTGTATCCTCTTCAAAAAGGGTAGACTCTGCCCTTTCCTACATCTCTGCTGTCAACTTCCAGTTGCACAGGTGGGAAGAGGTAGGGGGAAGACAGACAGCAGGGCTCTGCACGGCCTGCTTGCTGGAGAAGTCTCTCTGGTAGCAGGCTGCCTTACCTCTGAGGGATGTAGAACATGCGCTGGGGTGGGGGCTTGTACAGCACGCCGCCATATGTGGGCCAGAGCCCACCCAGGATCCGGAACAAAGAGCTCTTGCCACAACCATTGGGGCCCGTGATGAGGAGGTGCATGCCCTCTTCCACCTGTGGATGCAGCAGACTGTGGCACTGGCCTCACAAAGGTTCTTCATCTGAAGCTGGCAGGTAGGCAGTGTCTCACTGGATAGCCTAGAACTGGCCTGGAACTGACAATCCTCCTGTCTCTGCCTCCCCAGGATTGGGATACCAGGCATGTGTCAAGATGCTGGTTGGGGGCAGGCTATTCTTGATCTTGTTGTGTGTGTGTGTGTGTGTGTGTGTGTGCTGGTCCTGGGGCTTGAGCTCAGGTTCTGGACGCTGTCCCTGAGCTTTTCTGTTCAAGGCTACTATTCTACCACTTAAGCCACAGTTTTACTTCTGGCTTTTTCCAGATAAGAGTCTTATAGACTTTCCTACCTGGGCTATGTGAACTGTGATACTCAGATCTCAGCCTCCTGAATAGCTAGGATTACAGGTATGAGCCACCAGTGCCTGGCAATTCTTGATCTTTTGATAAGTGACAACAGAAGAGAGGTGGGGTTCAATGTCCAGAGTCCTAACCATATGCCTGGCCTAGAATATAGGGAAATGGACAAGAGTTGGCCCTGTCCCTTAAAGCCTTGATATGTCTGGAAAACATGGGGCCAACACCAGAAGAAGGGTATCTTTTGCTACAGCTCAATGAATGGGTATGTTCCAAGACTGATGATGTCACCCTCAATCCCATCTGAATGCATTCAGAATCCAAATGCAATGTCAAGAGTCTCTGCCCCCCTTAGAAAGTGTCCATAGGAAGGGTACTTTTTTTTGCATTTAACCACTTGCCCCTCCCCTGAGTATGGAAACAGTTGTAGGAAGGAGGGGTGAGTATAGGAAAACTGCTTCTGTCCTATCGGATTTCCTATCAGATTTCCATTCAGCCCCAGGACAGAGAATATTTGGGGGGCACCCCAGGGCAGAGATCCCATCACCAGCACCATCCCTTGTCTCAGTGTGGTGCTTATGTATCTGTGAAAAATAATAACACGGTGCATAGGCCTACCGGAAAGAAAATTCAATGTGAGTGCCTTTGCTATTTCAGGCAGTGTTAGTTTCAGGCTGGGCCATGAATTCACATATTGAAATCTTAATCCCTAGTACCTCAGAGGGTGACTGTACTTGCAAATAGGTCATAGATGATCAGTTTAGCTAACATGAGATCATACTGGAGTGGTTCAATGTGAACTTACAAATGGGAGATTGAAACACAGATATGCATAGAGAGAGAAAGCCATGTGAAGATAGAGACAGAGAGTAGAATGATGGAACAAGCAACTGCCAGAAAACCAAAAGCTGGGTGAGTCCTGGGACAGGCAGACTCCCTCAGATCTCAAAGAAGGATCCTCGTCTTGTGCCCTTGATCTAGACCTGTGCTCCCCAGTCCTGGAAGAGTCCTTTTCTGCTGTTAAAGCCATCTAGTGTATGGTGATTGTCAGAGCAGTCTCAAGGCACACAAGTGTGTAACCAACAACTCTTGAGGGCAGAAGGGGCAAGAGAGTTTTTGGTTCAGGCAGGATTTTGTCCCTGCTCTTCCACCTGTGACTGCCTCTTCTTACCTGGCCTTGTTCTCTAACCAGCCATAGCTTGCTCACCAGGGCCTTAGTGTCTTTGCTTCCTTTGACTTTTCTGGGCCTAGCTTGGAAACTACCATTGTGAAGAGGGGTGGCAAGGTTCACACCACTACTACCACTGTGTGTGCTATTTGGCGTAACACTATATGTCCTGCCTCCAACTGGCTCTCATGATTTCTTTCTCTTCTTCCTCCCTTCCAGTCTCAGCCCCCTCAGCAGACAAAAGCAGCAGCCAGGGCACTCCTAACTCTTCCTGTTCCTGTCTCTTCCATAATTCCTCCCCCACAAGTTGAGAAACATAACACTCCCAGAAAGAAAATCCCACTGTTACCCACTTTAGTGTTTACCCCAAGAATGTAGACACTTCCTTAGTCTAGCTCACTCCCTCCATTTACCTTTGTTTTTCAGTCCCCAGTCTAGAGTTCAGGGAATACTGGCTATCCCTCTGCTCTAGTCTTATTTCACTGTTCCCTGGTTCTATCCAAAGCCCTGCCTGGAGGCATAGGTAAGCAGTGAGTGGCTGAGCTATACCAGTGTTCCTTTCGTGTGTGTGTGTGTGTGTGTGTGTGTGTGTGTGCTGGTCCTGAGGCTTGAACTTAGGGCCTGAATTGTCTGTCCCCAACGTTTTTTTGGTGGTCCTGGGGCTTGAACTCGGAGCCTGGATGTTTGTCCCTGAGCTTTTCCACTCAAGGCTATCACTCTACCACTTTGAACCACAGTGCCACTTCTAGTTTTTCTAGGTTTTTTAGTGGTTAGTTGGAAGAGTCTCATGGAGACTTTTCTGCCCAGGCTGGCTTCAAACCATGATCCTTAGAACTCAGCCTCCTGAGTAGCTAGGATTACAGGCATGACCCATCAGTGCCCCAGTGCTCTACCATTTGAGCCATAGCTCCACTTTCAGCCTTTTCTGTAGTTTTTAGTGGAGATAAGAGTCTCAGACTTTCCTGCTTGAGCTGGCTTCAAATGGTGATCCTCCAGTCTTAGCCTCCTGAGTAGCTAGGATTAGAGGCGTGAGGCATCTCTCCCCCCCCCCCCCCCCGCCCCGCCTAATTCCCCCCCTCCCCTGCCCCAGCTCATTTCCTTTCCTTGATCTCTCCAGGGCCAGAGAACCATCCCCAATGAATAGCTCTGTATCTACCACACAGAGTCTGTGCTAGGGACATCTCAAAGCAGATGGAGTAGGACCCCAGATTGCACAGCAGAGGGGCCCAGGTGGAAAAATGGCAATTTTCTTCCCCACAGCTGGAGAGGAACCAGAGCTCCCATGTCTTAGCTTTCTTAGAAGGATAGGGAGCAGGCAATGATCAGACAGACAAAGATTGTTGGGTAACCCTTGGCCAACCCTGGTAACCACTAGTTTTATGTTTTATTTTTTTTATCAGCTCTGATTCCTGGAGACACATTGATCTCTCACTTTGACCTTAGCCTACCTGCCACGCAGAGCTGGAGAGAATGACTACTGTCAGCATAGTTAGGTGGTAAGCCAAGGGCTGGGGATTGCAGATGCAAACGGCCAGGCACCTGGGATGTACACCTAGGCCTTATCTGCTTAGCTCAGCCTAGTCAGCACTTCTGGGTCAGACACCCCTCCTCCACTCAACCTACCCTGATGTTGAGGCTGGCCACTACCACATCTCCTGTGGGCGTGATGATGGGGATATTCTCACAGATAATCCCCTGCTCCACATCCACCACCTGGCCTGCAGAGAAAATGCAAGGAAGGAGAAGAGGCAGCAGCATTCATGTGGGTTCCCTCTGCCCTGGAGGCCCTCCGTTGCCCCCTTGGTTTATCCACCCCTAATAGCCCATCCGTGGATTCTGGAACAGCATGGTAAAGTCCACAGCTCCTTCGGAAAATAGCCAGGCCTTCCAACAAGCTGACCCCTGCCCCAGTATTCAGTTCCATGCTCCTAGGTTGTCACTATGGCTTTGGTCCCCTGGAACATGAGGAATTGTTATCCTGCTCTGTGTCTGCCCCTCTCCTGGGCTCGCTCTATCTATCTATCTATCTATCTATCTATCTATCTATCTATCTATCTATCTATCTATCTATCTATCTATCTATCTATCTATCTACCTATCTATCTACCTATCTGCTCTATCTATCTATCTATCATATATATAATATAATATATATATACACACACACATATATAGTTTTTGTTGTTGTTGTTTTGTTTTTGGTGAGTCATGGGGCTTGAACTCTGGGCCTGGATGCTGTCCCTGAGTTCTTCAGCACAAGGTGTGAGTTCTACCACTTGACCCACAGCACCACTTTGCTGGGTACCATCTTAAAGGGGCCTCCAATGTCTAGGCCTTTTTATAGTACTTGGACTCTTATGTAACTGGCAGCTGGGTACAGTCTCTCCTATGCTCACACATTGCCTTCAACTTTCTCTGGGTGCCTGCATATGTTGTGACCTCCTATACTCAGGGCCCACACACTCCTCTCTTAAGAAAAATTGATTAGCTTACACTATTTATATAGAAGGGGATTTCAGTCTTACATTTCCACACACATTTACATTATGATCCAATCAGTCTCCCCCTCCCCCCCATTACTCGCCTCTCTTTTTTAACCAGTAATCTAGGCCAGGGCTCTCAGGAGGGCGGATTAGCAGCTTAGCTGGCAGCCACTGCTTGGAGAAGACAGGCTGCTTGGCCAGCAGCACTTCTGAGGAAAACCTCTTTAGGGGCCCAACTCATTCTGCGCAAGCCCTCAACGTCCCTGCCAGGCAGGCCTCCTGTCCTCGTTGGACCTGGGCAGCTGGGATACTCAGTGGAAGGCAAAAATGAGAGGAAGCGCTCTGCATGGCGGGACAGCATCTCACCTTGGATCTTTAAGGGTCCCTCAATGTGGACACCAGATCGTACTAGGGCGGCAGATCCAGTGTGACCATCCTCTTGTTCCCCAGGCCTCTTGAAACGACAGTGCTGGACATCCTCAAATACCTGGAACATCTCGTAAACCCGGGCTGTGTAGCCAGCCAGCTCTGTTACCTGTAGGGAAGCCAGCATGGGCTTAGCCTGGGCTACTGTGGGGCGCAGATAGGGATGGACTGCGCTGTGCTGGGGTTACCTCCTTGTAGGAGGACATGATCCGCTCAGTGGCATCTGCAGCAGCTGTGAGGAGATTGCGGGCAATGGTGAAGGCTTCTGTGCGCTCACTCACAAGCTCCTCCTCCTCCTCCTCCTTCTGGAAGGCTGCCTTCTTCATGGTCTCTGAGTCTGGAAGCCAAGAAGGAAGATAGAGGAGAGTTAAAAGCCTCCAGAGGAAAGATGAGTCTCGTACAAATTGTGCTGGTACAGCCAGATACATACACACATGTAAAAGTGCCCCTCCACCACTACAAACGAAAACGAACTGTAAGAGTATCACAGGTCAATGTGAGGAACTAAAACTATAAAACTCTTAGGAGAAAACAATGGCAGCCAGGTGCCCGTGTCTCACGACTGTAATCCTAGCTACTCAGGAGGATGGAATCTCCGGATCCTGATTCAAAGCCAGCCTGGGCAGGAAAGTCCATGAGACTCTTATCTCTAATTAATCACAGAAAAAGCCAGAAGTAGGGCTGCGGCTCAAGTGGTAGAGTGCTAGCTTTGCGCAAAAAGGAGCTCAGGGACAGTGCCCAATCCTAGACTTTGAGCTCCGAGACTGGTAAAAACAAAACAAAACAATGGCAAGGCTTCATAATCTTGATGACACATGATTTCTTACATATGCACAAGCAACTAAGAAAAAGCAGATGAACCAAACTTCATCAAAATTAAATAAACTTGGCAGCCTGGAGGTGTGGTTCAAATGGTAGAGTGCCAGTTGAGCTCAAAAAGCTAAATTGAAACTCTGATACTGGGAAAAAAAAAAGCACAAAAATGTTGCCAGGTGCCAGTGGCTCATACTATAATACTAGGCAGCTGAAACCTGGAGGATCATGTTTTATTTGTTTTTTTTTTTTTAACTGTAAGTTTTTGTCTTTTCCTTTTTTGGTACTGGGGATTGAACCCAGGACATTGCACTTGCTAGACAAGCACCGTGCCTCTGAATTAAAGGATCACATTTTGAACCCAGTCCTGGCAGAAAAGTCAGCAAGACTCCATCTCCAGTTAACCAGAAAAGTGTCAGACTGGCTCAAGTGTGGCTCAAGAGTGTCAGTATGGCTCAAGTGGTAGAACACTAACCTGAGCAAAACAAGCCTCATCACTTCAATTGGGGTGGCTGTAACAATGAGAGATAATACCAATCTGGCCAAGTGAGGAGCTGGAACTTCATCTACTGCTGGTAGAGATAAAATGGTGTGTCACTCTGGAAAACAGCTCCCCACAAAGTTAAACAAAGAACCACTGTAAAGACCTGGGAAATGGGGCTGGAAAGGTGTCTCAGTGGTAGAGTGCTTGCCTTGCATGCATGAGGCCCTGGGTTCGATTCCTCAGCACCACATAAGCAGAAAAATCCGGAAGTGACCCTGTGGCTCAAAGTGATAGAGCGCTAGCCTTGAGCTGAAGACCTGAGGGACAGTGCCCAGTCCCAGAGTTCAGGCCCCATGACTACCCTCCCCCCCCCCAAAAAAAAAAGACCTGGGAAATCCACTCCTAGATAGGTTTGCAAGAGAAACAAAAAGAAAATATGAACACATAGAAACTTTTACGGCATGTTCATAGCAGCACTATTTGTAATAGTGTAATGTTTATCAATAGGTGAACAAAGAAACTTCAGTATATGCATACAATAGAATATTATTCAGTCATAAAAAAGATTGAAGTACTAATACATTTTACAACACAAATGAATTTTGAAACATGCTTAGTGAAAGAAGCCAATCACCAAAGGTCATACCATATGATTACATTTCTATGAAATGTCTAGAATAAGCAAATTCATAGTGATAAGAAACAGATTAGTCTGAGCAAGAGGGAAATGATAATGAATCTAGTGTGTGTGTGTGTGTGTGTGTGTGTGTGTGTGTGTGTGTGTGTGTGTGTGTGCGTGTGTGTGTGTGTGTGCTGGTACTGGGGCTTGAACTCAGGATCTTACTTAGGCTATCACTGGGCTATTTTTGAATGGCTGCCATTCTACTATTTGAGCAATACCTTCAGTCTAGCATTTTGATGGAGAATTGGAAACAGAGTCTCTCAGATTTTCTGCTTTGAGTAACTTTGAACTATAATCATCAAAGCTCAGCTTTCTGAGTAGCTACAATTATAGGTGTGAGCCACTGGAATCTAGCTTAGAGCTTGTTTTTGGAGTATAAAATGTTCAGAATTTTGATGATGTAATGGTTGTACAACTCTGAATGTATTGAAAACTACTGAATTATACACTTCTTTTGTGTGCTGATCCTGGGGCTTGAACTCAGGGCCTGGGTGTTGTCTCTCAGGTTTTTTTTTATTGTTGTTGTTGTTCAAGGCTAGCATTCTATCACTTGAGCCACAGCTCCACTTCTGGCTTTTTGATGGTTCACTGCAGATAAGTCTTACAGACTTTTCTGCCTGGACTGGCTTTGAACCCTGATCCTCAGATCTATGCTAGGATTACAGGCATAAGCCACCAGTGCCTGGCACTGTGTCATGGTTTCTAATTTCCATGCTAATGGCCATTTTCTGTTTTCTTCTAAGAATTGCTCTTGTCTAAATCTGCTTTTCTGTCACAATCCAGACTCCATGGTCAAGCCCTTTAACCTCTTCAGTGACATCATGGACTCCCTTAACCTTGGGACTTGTATTATTATAAAGGTCATATCTAGAGAAGTTACAGTTACATAAGTCAGGTAATGAGTACATTTCTTTTTGGATAATGTCACCCCTTCCCTCATACTCTCCAAATCTTGAGACTTGGAAATAGTGGAGGAGGCTGACTTTGAGGATCCTGAGGTAGAGGTGAGTGAGTAGGTATCACCCACTGGGGAGGTACCAGGGGCCCTGGGGCTGAAATAGCCAAAGATTCTGAAGTGGAGCCTCACAGATCAATAGTAAGGGAAGGGTAAGGAGAAAAAGGGCAGAGTCAACTCAGAGCAGTGTAAGGCCAGGTGCTGGTGGCTCAGGTCTATAACCTTAGCCACTCAGGAGGCTGAAATCTGAGGATCGAGTCTCAAAGTCATCCTGGGCAGACAAATCTATGAGATTCTATCTCCAACTAACCAACACAAGCTGGAACTCGAGGTAGAGCACCAGCTGTTAATGAGAAAGCCAAGTAAGAGCTCAAGGACCTAATTCCAAGCCCCACTATACACACACATGCATGCACATACAAGTAGCACAAAGTAGAAAGGAGACTAGAGGAATGGACAGAATGCCTTACATTGCTTCCTAGGGCCTGGCCCAGGAAATCAGGGCAATGAACCGGGTGTGTGTATGTGTGTGTGTGTGTGGGGAGACTGACCATCAATCATCAAAGTCTAAGGTTCTAGACCTTTCTTTTCACCATGTTTTCTAGGACACAGCCCCACCAGGTATCAAGGACACCAGCATTCCTGGTGTCCATTCCTGGAGCTGGACAGCCAGTATGGACAAAGGGTAAGGGTGTGCGGGCTTTATGGGAGGGGCTTCCTAGCTATGGCTAGCATCTTCCTGGAGACAGAAGTCACTGCATCCTGCAGATCCCCTTGGGGCCTCTAGGGATTCATAGGCCCCTACCTCTCTCCTCAGTCCTCTGGCCTTTGCAGGCTAGCAAAGCAAAGCTTACCTAGATCTTCCCCAGTAGTTAAGGACTGACTCTTCCCAAGTTCCATGGGCACTGTGAGCTCTCACTGAGCTTGGGGACACAGAAAGGATCAAACAGACAACCAGCCGGGCATTAGTGACTCACACCTGTAGTCCTAGCTACTCAGAAGGCTAAGATCTGAACATCATGGTTTGAAGCACCCTGGGCAGGAAAGTCTGTGAGACTCTTGTCTCAAATGAACTGTTTTGTCAAAAGCCAGAAACGGAGCTGTGGCTCAAGTGATAGAACACTAGCTTTGAACAAATAAAGCTCAGAGGCAGCATCTAGGTCCTGAGTTCAAGCCCCAGGACTAACAAAACAACAACAACAACAAAAAACAGACAACCTTCCTACCATCATCCAGTATAATGTGGAAAGTAGAGAGAGGGAAATATAATGAACAAAACTGAACAGGGCAGGATTAAAGGTTAAGGGCAGAAAAATGTGTGTTGGTCAAGACAGGCCTTGCCTAAGGGCAGCCTGGGCGCAAAACTCTGATGAAGAAGCAGCAGAGACATTCCTGGCATAAAATGTATTAGGTCCCAAGTGCCTGAGGCCAAAGCATGCCTGGTATTTAGAGGAATAACAGGGAGGCTACTAAGATTGAAATAGGACAAGCAATGGGGCAAGCAAGGAAGATGAAATCTCCTTTGTGCATTTTCCAAAGGTGACTGTGAGTGATGGGGGAAGGGACAGAGACAGAATTTCCCACATGCCTAGTACAGCAGAAGCTTCAAAAAGTCCTAGGCTAGCTGGGCCCTGGTGGTTCATGCCTATAATCCTAACTACTCAGGTGGCTGAAATCTGAGGATTGTGAATTAAAGCCAGCCAGGGCAGGAAAATCTGTGAGACTCTTGTCTCCAATTAACCACCAAAAAGCTAGAAGCCAAGCTGTAGTTCAAGTGGTAGCATGCTAGGCTTGAGCAAAAATGCTCAGGGACAGCACCCAGACCCTGAGTTCAAGCCCCAGGATAGACACACATACCAAAAAAAGAAGACCTAAGCTAGCTAAGTGCTGCTGATTCAAGCTAATCCTAGCTACTTGAGAGGCTGAGATCTGAGGATGGTGGTTTGAAACTAGACTGGGCAGAAAACTCTGTGAGACTTTTATTTCCAATTAACCATTCAAAAAAAAAAAAAAGCCAGGGGCTGGGAAGGTGGCTCAGTGGTAGAGCGCTTGCCTTGCATTCATGAGGCCCTGGGTTCGATTCCCCAGCACCACATAAGCAAAAAGAAAAAAAGCCGGAAGTGGCGCTGTGGCTCAAGTGGTAGAGCGCTAGCCTTGAGCTGAAGAGCTGAGGTACAGCGCCCAGGCCCAGAGTTCAGGCCCCACGATCGGACCCCCTCTCCCCCAAAAAAGCCAGAAGTGGAGCTGTGACTCAAGTGATAGAGTGCTAGCCTTGAGAATCAAAGCTCAGGGACAGTGCTCAGGTCCTGAATTGAAGACAAGGACTGGTGTGTGTGTGTGTGTGTGTGTGTGTGTGTGTGTACTGGTGTGTGTGTGTGTGTGTGTGTGTACTGGTGTGTGTGT